CACACACACACACACACACACACACACACACACACACACACACACACACACACACGTCCCTTTGTTATTTATTTTCTGCAGAACTGTGAGGAAATCCTCCTTCCAAATAAAACCCATGACTCATGTTCTAAAAAAACAACAACTTGTTTTTGGCAAGAGGCCAGAAACACATCAGGTTTGATTTAGGCGCCGTTTACACGAGGAGAAAACTGCTTGTATCTGCATAGTTTCGCGTGCGTATAGCCCTATTATTTACACGAGGCCGATAGAACCTGACCCCACAAACGATAACGGGTCCCAAGGTGGATAGATTTGCAAACGAAACGCTCTGGGGGGTCAACCGAGTCCGTGTAATCACCTCTATACGAATATTTCCTGAAAAAATAGCGATAGCCCCGCCTCTCCCCACCTCTCCTGCTCACTGCTGTACTAGCAACTATCAAAAATAGCTGTGTTAATTAAACGCACAAGGGGTTCTTGAATGAAATAATATTATAAAAGGCAAACCAGAATAGTTAACGCCCAATATACTCCTTAAACAAAATAAACAGAGTCAGATTTCATGCATTGATCCATTATATTGACAATTTTCCAGCCAAACAACACAAACAAAATTAAACAGTCCGCTCTGCGATACACCAAACTTGTCTTTACTGCCTAATCCAGGCCATTATTGTTCACGAGGACCGGCGTGTCCCAGAGGAGCGATCTCACCCGGTGTTTGTAGAGAATATCTCTCTTTCTGAGCGCGTCCTCTCCACGGAGACGTGCTTCTTGGTCGGTCGATGCAATATCCACAGATTCGGTTTCTTTCAGTTAACTTCCCCGTTGCATTTATCCATATATTTACATGCTGAGGAAATGACTATATCCCGCTGAATACCAGCAATCGCCACACACACTCCCTCCTGTCAGTAGCTACTGCTAGTGCTACTGCTACTGACCATGCTACAGATATTAGTGCAAAATCTACAGCTCCTCTACCACAACCATCAGCAACAAGTGGACATGGAGAATTACATGAACTACATGTTGCTAAATCCACCGCGGGGCATGAACAGAAGGGTAGCCATGGCAACATTGCTGCGGGGCTGCTCCGGAGTCTTCTTCACTGCTTTTGGTGTATTTTGGCGGAAGTTACAGCGCCACTTACAGTCCCGGCATATGTACTACAGCGTTTCCAGCGGTCTCGTTTGAACAGACACGTTAAATGAAACGAATGCATGTGAATGGAAGACTTTTTTGAATACGCATACTGTGCATAAACGCAAACGGTCCCGTGTGAAGGAGGCCTTAGTGCTAAAGTGACTTCACTATGTAACACTCACTCTGCTATTGGCCAGCGCTCCAACACATTGTACGTGATAGGCTAAGGGGCGGGACATCTCTAAGCTGTTGACCAATCACAACAGAGCCGGCCAGCTAACCAATGAGAGCAGACTGGGCTCTGGTTTCAGACAGAGGGTGAAAAGAGTTTTTTTTTTTTTCTAACGTGGAATAAATGTTATTTCAGTCGTTGATCTTTGGGTTCAATAATGTTTATTTTACTGAAACACACACCTAAAAAAACAGATTTAGGAGAAGAGAAACTGCAGAGCTCTGTTTGTGTTTCTCAGAAAGTGTTTCTTTACACATCTGATGAAAAGGTGAGGTGATGCTTTATTTTAGGAACAATTTCAAATGGTAAAATGATGGTGTTGCACAATGGAACAATACCCAAACATAACAGATAACAAACCTAAAAAATGTTAAAAATCACACTTTTATATCTAAAGCACAAGATCAATATATAAACAATTGCTTGCATTCAATCAACATGTCAAACTTTTCTTCTTCTTCCTCCTCCTCCTCCTCCTCCTCCTTCTCTTCCTCATCCTCTTCCTCAGTTCCCTGAATGTGGGTTTTTTGGGATGTTCGATAAGATCCTTCTCTTCCGTCACGACCTGACCTCGGAGAACATTCTTCAGAGACTGAGCTCAGCGGAGGAGATCCAGGAAGGAGACCTGGTGGAGGTGGTGCTGTCGGGTGAGCAACAACAACAACAACAACAACAACAACAACAACAACAACAACAGTGCTTCAGAGTTTAGAGGTTTACCAAAAGAAGGAATTAATTGCAGGCTTGTCTTTTATTTTAAATAGTAGACTAAATACTGTGCAAAGGTTGTCCTCCATAAACCAAGTCAGTGTTCTAGTGTTGCTCAGCACCTTGTGGCCTTTGTTTGTGCAGATGAAGACTTGGGAGTACATGCTGAAAGATGTCATTAATAAATGCTCGCTGACTTTGCATTATGACATTTCAAAAATATTGGTGTTTTTTAAATATTTTTACCAAATGCCTCTTGTATAATCGTCGGGCAGATTGTGGAATAATTGCCCATGAAATAGGTCATTAATTTCCTTTCCAATTAGCCTTATTTAAAGGTCCCATGTCATGGCCATTTCTACTGATCATGATTCCATTGTTGAGGTCTACTAGAATAGATTCACATTGTTCAATGTTCCAAACTCACATTGGTTTCTCATACAGCATCTCTGTATATTCACTCTCTGTCCTAAACGGCTTGTTGGAGCTCCTGCCCCCCCCCCCTCCCTATGAGTCCAGTCTGCCAGACAGCGAAACCCAGCCCGAACACACACACACCCGCAGCCTGGCTGGGAGTTTGTGTGTGTGCTCAGGCTGAGTTCCGCGGTGTCTCGCTGTCTCGCCGACCCCAAACCAGTGAGCCAGCTCACAGTGTCCCGCTCCTCGCAGCAGCGAGCCTCGCAACGTCCCGTCGAGTGTGTGTGTGTGTGAGGAAGTCCGCGGATTGGTCCAAACGTAACGGCTCCACGGACGTTACGTTACGTCACTATACCCAAGAAGTAAACAATGGAAAAAGATAAATGTCCAACGAGGCGTTCTGGGGCAGCATAGACAGGTCTTCTCTGTGTTAGAGTTTTACTCGCTACAGGGTGTACTTTGAGGGTTTGTGACTCTGCAGACCGTTCACATGCAGAACAACCTTCATAACACAAGGGGTTAGGGTAATAACCAGAAAAGCATGACATGGGACCTTTAAAGTCTTACATTTTACTTACCTTAAGCTATAGGAGGATTAACATGTAAAAGAGAAAAAATAAATAATACAAATTATAGTCATATTTATAAATATAGCTCCTTAAAAACTAATTTAAAATAACTTATATCTCAAAATGTAATTTAACATTGAGGAACTTGTATTGAGTTTTATGTTTTTAATTAACAATTTAAAGCCCTGTTTATTTCTCAGCTTCCTCCTCCTCCTCCTCCTCCGCCTCGTGCTAAGTGTTAGCGGTTAGCTCTCCTCAGATCTTTCTCCAAACATACCATAAATATGAAGCTCTTTGTTTCCTGAGAGGTGTAAGTGTAAAGGTTCAAACCAGAGACTGTAAATGAAACCCCGACCACTTCCTGCTGCTGCAAAAACCTGCAGAGATCAGAGTGTTTATTTCTCCCACGTTAGCAGGACAGTGAAGGCATCGTTCAACGCTAACCTGAAGATAACATGCGTTGAATATTTTTGTCTTTGAGTCAGGTTTCTCCTCAAGCGTCAACAGCCTGACAAATAAAACATACTTTTTTAAATAACACCTTCTAATCTTTTTTAATTCTGCAGAACAAGTTGAATGAGGGGGAAACTTCATAGACTCACAGTTTTTAAGTTAATTAAGTTAATTGTGGGGAATACCGATCATTATCTTGTCAAACAGGCTCAAACAGGACACGAATGATCATGAGGTCATCTCGTTTGAGGGTCAATACGTTTATCTTGATGAGGCTGTGGCGCCATTACTCTGTTACCGTCTGAAATATCTACACTAGTTGATGGATTGACGTTAGAAGTTACCTTTCAAGGGAAAACAAATCTTTAAATGGTGTGAAAATGTCTTAAAACAGGATTTTTTTAAAAGGAAAAAGTCTTTATACATTTTTTTTTTACTTCTGATCCAAAACTTCAATATAATTTGTAACATTTTTAAAAGAAAACAACCTTATTTACAAAATGCATCTGACATTAACGTCACAAAACCCGACAGCACAAAACATTTGCTTAAAAATGCCCTCAAAAAGGAACTTTAACTGAGTTTTACCAAATAATTCAGATCATGATTTGCTCTAAACGCGGCTCTTTTCAAATGAATTTTCTCAGTAAAGGTTGTTATGATTTTTATATAACCAAAGCAGAACTAATTTCACAATAACAGAAGCTTTACGAGCAATCAAGGCTTTTTACAGAAGATCCAAACCAGTTTCAGGATAAGAAATGTCCCATGTTGTCTGTTGTTGTTGTTGTTGTTTGACTGTATTGTATTTTTATTATTTCAGCTCTCGCCACAGCGGAGGATTTCCAGATCCGACCTCACGCTCTCTACGTTCACTCCTACAAAGCTCCAGCTTTCTGTGACGACTGTGGAGAAATGTTGTGGGGACTCGTCAGGCAGGGCCTCAAGTGTGAAGGTAACACGGTTTTATTATTTACCAGAAGATAGCGCCAAAAAAACGGTCTAAATGAGACGACTAAACGTCATCACGGCCAACATTAGCCGCCTTTAGCTTAGCGGTGGTGACGTGAAGTCATGTGACCGTGCTGTAGTTCCTTTATAGCCCAACATTAGCCACCTTTAGCTTAGCGGTGGTGACGTGAAGTCATGTGACCGTCCTGTAGTTCCTTTATAGCCCAACATTAGCCTCCTTTAGCTTAGCGGTGGTGACGTGAAGTCATGTGACCGTGCTGTAGTTCCTTTATAGCCCAACATTAGCCACCTTTAGCTTAGCGGTGTCACACCTCAACCCAGTCTCACGGCATTTCGTGTTATTAGTCACGAAATTAATTTAATCTATTGATTCGTGTTCACCAACACGATTTTCACCTTTTTTTCGTGTCACACAAAACGATTTTAAAAGCAATGTATTTCTATTGGTAGTATGTTTCGTGCCTGCAACACGTCTTTTTGTCCGGTCGGGTCTTGGAAGACCAGAAGCTGTGTGGTTCATAAAAACATGTTCTTACTCAAAATCTTACCCTAAGCCTAACCCTATCCCTTTTATTTTAAATTGTATAATGTCTGAGTTTTTTTGCCGTCAGTGAGGAAAAGAAATGTCTCAGAGCCTCAGAATACTGACATCTGTATTTTATGTCATCTTTTTTTCCTTCTAATTTGTTATTATTTGGTGCAGGCACGAAACATACTACCAATATAAATACATTGCTTCTAAAATCGTTCTGTGTCAGAATACTTAAATCTGTATTTTTTTAAATGTCCTTTTCCTTCTAATTTGTTATTATTTACATTGCTTTTAAAATCGTTCTGTGTGACACGAAAAAAATGGCGAAATCTTGTTGGTGAACACGAATCAATAGATTAATTTCGTGACTATAACACGAAATGCCGTGAGACTGTGTTGCACACCTAGTGATTATAAAACAGAGATTCTATGATTAGCTAATCAGCGAGCTGACGTTATGTAAACACACAATGAATGACAGGAAACAGAGACTTACATCACCTGAAATACAGAAGTCTTAATATAAATACAGTGAAACAGGTGTCAGGATATTTACAACAATTCACACAAGCTTCCTGTCAATTAAACTTAACGACAGGACGTCATGTGCAGCGAGTGTTTCTGCGGTGATGTAAGATAAATCAGATTTTAAAGGTGGGGTAGGTAATTCACTTCAGAAACACTTTTTGTTATATTCCATGGAATGCTCTTAACATCCCGATAGCAATGAATAAATTAAATGATTTGACAATAAATACATAAAATATTTCATCTGTGGAAGCCGTAGTACTGTAAAAAGCACGACCAATCATCTGAGCCGGCCCTGCTAAAATAACTGGATGGCCTACCTGCCTGTCAGCCTTCCATCGGGGCACAAACTTATCTCGTGCCCTCATTGGTCATGTGCGCGTTCGTGTGTGTTGGAGGAGGGGCTCTGTGAGGAAGTCTGAAGGAAGGGGCAGATGTTTTTCGGTTGTGTATTTTCAAATTCTAGCGCACTCGAGCTGGTTTCTCCATTCTTACCTACCCTACCTTTAATGAGTATAACATAAGCTATATATATATATATTTCATTTGATTAAGTTGTTAACACGTGTTCAAAGCCTTCTAAACATGCTGTTGAACATTCTGAAACAGCAGTGGCAATATTCTATCAAAAATGTACTATAACAGATTCACTGGATTAGCTTAGTTTAGCTTAGCATAAAGACAGAAACACTCGGCATGACTCCATCCAAAGGTGTAGAAAAATAAACCTGTTATCACCTTTTTAAAACTCACTAATTAACATGATGAGTCAGGTCTGTTTAACCAAGGACACTGACTGTCTCTCCATTTTCAAATCACGTCTCAAATCACGTCTCAAATCACGTCTATTCACACTGGATATCCACCCTGATCACATGACACATCTTCTTGTTATTGATTATATTCACTTGTTGTTCTGCTGGTGTTTTGTTTTTAGTTTTGCCCAAACAACAGGAGGATAAAATGATGTTAAAATACTGTTTCCTCCCTACAGGATGTGGACTGAACTACCATAAGAGATGTGCGTTCAAGATCCCCAACAACTGCAGCGGGGCGAAGAAGAGACGTCTGTCCAACGTGTCGCTGCCGGGAAGCGTCCTGTCCGTCGCTCGCCGTCCGTCCAACGAGTTACCCCCCACTCCTCAGGAGGAGGTGAGTTCAATGCCTCTGTCAACTCCTGTATTTCACAACGCTTCAATCAGGTTTACAGTGAATACAGACCGCCATAAAATATTCCTGAGCTGCAGGAGGGTGGGATCCTTCCTGATTTATTTAAATTTGGTTTCTTTGCTTAGTCTTTTACCGATTATTTACAGTACAAATATAAAAAAGTGTTAATAAAAAATATATAAATAATAATAATTAAAAAAAAAAACTAAATAATAATAATAATTAATAATAACAATAAAATATGACAAATAAATGAGAAAATAATCAAAATAATACATTCATATTTTAGGTATAATAATATTAAATAATCATAAAAGTTCAAACGTATTTTACCTAAATAATAAAAATGATGATAACTAGGGCTGCTCGATTATGGCAAAAATCATAATCACGATTATTTGGGTCAATAATTGATATCACGATTATTAAATACGATTATTCATTGACTTTGAAAACATCCATTTATTGAACTTTAAAACAAATACAAATAATAATTTGAACAGTATCTTTTTAACTGTTGATTACCCTGAACGTATAATTCAACTGAAAAACCAATACAAAAATAAATTAAATAAATGATACATTTAAATAAATAATATCACAATAATAAATACCAATAAACAAGATCAACAAATATTTTGGAGCACACTTCCACAAGCTACTAAACATATATAAATATGATAAATACAAATAAATGAGACCAAAATTAATTAGATCAAATATGTTGCAGTGCACAACCAAGCAAAGCAAAATAATCCAAAATCGTAATTGCGATTAAAATACGATTAATTGCACAGCCCTAATGATAACTATAACAATGATGATAGATTTCTTGTCAAGTTAAAGAGCAAATGAACAGAGTGTGTGTTTGTTTAAGAAATCAATGCCTCTGTGAACTCCAGTATTTCACAACGCTCTGCAGAAACCATCAGGTTTACGGTGAATACAGACAGCGTATTTCATGTCTCAGAAATATATAATTCATCTATATTTCATGAGGTCAAATAACTCTGTTTGTGGTCATTATTTCAACGTTTTCAATACCAAAATAACTATTGTTTTAGGAGTTTATTTGGAGAAATGTTGCAGTGCAAACAAGGCTGAACAAATAACAATCATTATCACGATCTGGCCAATCCTTATTGGATCATAATCTTCCTTTCACAACTGCAAATACTTTTTCCTTTGAGTTAAAAACGTTTTGCCTCATAAATAAGTTATGATTTAAATTAAGAAATTTTTGACTTACTTAAGGTTTTAATGTCTGAAAAAGCGTCAAAAGTAGTAATAACCACGAGTGTGTGTTGTTTCATTTCTGTGTGTTACACTTTTAGATTATTATTAATGACATTTAAATATTTTAATTGACTGAAGAACGGCTAATTTTACTTTCTCTCTTAATTCATAGTAAAATAATTTATTTGAAAGGATAATCATAGGTTTTTAACAACTTAATCTGCAAAGGATGTCATATGTAGTGGAGTAAGAAGTACTATATATGCCTCTGATATGTAGTGGAGTAGCAGTATCAAGTGCGTACAATTTAAATACTGAAGTACAAATACTTATACACAGTACTTGAGTAAATGTACTCGGTTACTCTTCTTCTCTGCTGAGGGTTTCCTGTCTGTGTTCCCTCTGCTCCCTCTCAGAGTCCAAACAAGTGCAGGTCGGGTGAACTGGAAACTCGTGTGGTGTGTGTGTGTGTGTGTGTGTGTGTGTGTGTGTGTGTGTGTGTGTGTGTGTGTGTGTGTGTGTGTGTGTGTGTGTGTGTGTGTGTGTGTGTGTGTGTGTGTGTGTGTGTGTGTGTGTGTGTGTGTGTGTGTGTGTGTGTGTGTGTGTGTGTGTGTGTGTGTGTGTGTGTGTGTCAGAATGTACCCTGCCTCTCGCCCAGATGCATGCTGGGAGTGCAGTATAGGAAAGAGGGTTTAGAGTTTAGACTCTGTGGCTGCTTTTCACACAAAACACAGAAGCATGTTGATGAGCTGTTAGAGAAGAGTCAGTTTAGAGAGAGACAAATGTGTAAATGACTAGAACACACACACACACACACACACACACACACACACACACACACACACACACACACACTTTCCACACTAGCAGCATGACGTTGTGCAATTAGCCATTTCCAGTAGTCACCCTCCCTCTCTGGCTCTCTCTCTCTCTTATACACACACACACACACACACACACACACACACACACACACACACACACACACACACACACACACACACACACACACATTCTGATAGCTGGAGGCATACCAGTGGATTTTCCATCTCGATCAAACCAGCGAACAGAGTGAGTCACAATCAGAGCTTCACACTAACTGGAACAGACACACTTTTATCAGCTACATCACACACACACACACACACACACACACACACACACACACACACACACACACACACACACACACACACACACACACACACACACACACACACACACACACACACACACACACACACACACACACACACACACACACACAATAAATACTTAAGTAATACAAATAATGAGGACTATAATAATTATTTAATTCTAAATAACAAATGACCAGTGTGACAGAGTGTGTGTTTGTTTAAGTAAATCAGCTTGTTGACATGCTGCAGTTCATCAGGATAAAGTCATCTCATGCAAGTAAACAAGTAAACAAAAGCAACGTCCTCGTCAGGTTGAGTTTATCCGTTATTCTGCTCTATAATAAAACATATCCTCACTCCTCTCATGTTAAAATCTCTGTAGTTGTTGATGAGACGTCACACAGTTCCTGATGAATCCCCCGTGTTTTAAAGGTGGGTTTCTTGCTGTTCTGGACTAATTCAGGCCCATTGTGTCACATGCTTCCTGCTCTTACCTCGTCTCTAAGCTGCTCGCCGCACAAGGACAGCCATTGTTCTGCAGAGAAGAGATTTCATCTGTGCTCCACTTTGCTCTCTGCTGCTCCACCTCCCTTTACTCTCTGCTGCTCCACCTCCCTTTACTCTCTGCTGCTCCACCTCCCTTTGCTCTCTGCTGCTCCACCTCCCTTTACTCTCTGCTGCTCCACCTCCCTTTACTCTCTGCTGCTCCACCTCCCTTTACTCTCTGCTGCTCCACCTCCCTTCACTCTCTGCTGCTCCACCTCCCTTTACTCTCTGCTGCTCCACCTCACTTTACTCTCTGCTGCTCCACCTCCCTTTACTCTCTGCTGCCCCACCTCCCTTTGCTCTCTGCTGCTCCACCTCACTTTGCTCTCTGCTGCTCCACCTCCCTTTACTCTCTGCTGCTCCACCTCACTTTACTCTCTGCTGCTCCACCTCACTTTACTCTCTGCTGCTCCACCTCCCTTTACTCTCTGCTGCTCCACCTCCCTTTACTCTCTGCTGCTCCACCTCCCTTTACTCTCTGCTGCTCCACCTCCCTTTACTCTCTGCTGCTCCACCTCCCTTTACTCTCTGCTGCTCCACCTCCCTTTACTCTCTGCTGCTCCACCTCCCTTACTCTCTGCTGCTCCACCTCCCTTTACTCTCTGCTGCTCCACCTCCCTTTACTCTCTGCTGCTCCACCTCCCTTTACTCCCCTCTGGCAGCTTCAAAGGAGGGACACACGTAACCAGGGGAAAGAAAGACATCAGGGAATCTGCCTGAAATCATTTCACTTACTCTCTAAAATAGTCCTGAGAACGGTGATGTTATATTAAAGGAATAAAGGGCGGCACAATATATCATTCCAGCATCATCACGTCACAACAACTCGGATGTGTTGTTTCATTTCATTTCATTTCATTTCATTGTTTATTTGAACCGGGACATTAATGAACATTTTAAACAAAATAATGTTTTTAAATGTAAATGAGCCGGATTTGAGCTTTGAGCTAGTTTCCATCCGTAGTCCCGTCACAACGTTTAAGAACATGACATTTATAAACAAGGCAAACAGAAATACATGATATGCAGAAAGAGCATGAGCAGCATACAAGCCACAAGGCAGTACATTGTTCATACATTGCATCTATCAATTACAAGCAGACGTTAGAAGTAACTAAGTACATTTACTCAAGTACTGTACTTAAGTACAATTTTGAGGTACTTGTACTTTACTTGAGTATTTACTCAAGTACAAGATCTAAGTACTTCTACTTTTACTCAAGTATAAGATCTGAGTACTTCTACTTTTACTCAAGTACAGATCTGTGTACTTCTACTTTTACTCAAGTACAAGATCTGAGTACTTCTACTTTTACTCAAGTACAAGACCTGAGTACTTCTACTTTTACTCAAGTACCAGATCTGAGTACTTCTACTTTTACTCAAGTACCAGATCTGAGTACTTCTACTTTTACTCAAGTACCAGATCTGAGTACTTCTACTTTTACTCAAGTACCAGATCTGAGTACTTTAACTTTTTTTTGTAGTACTTCTCCCACCTCTGATAACAAGTATACTGTAAAAATACAATTGAGTTTGTTTACATTTCTCTGAAGTGTTTCCTTGTCCGATGTGAGGGTCCGAGGACAGAGGGGGTCGTATCGATATTCTGTACAAACTGTAAAGTCCACTGAGACGTATAATGTAACGTTTGTGATATTGGGCTATAAGCATGGATTGATTGATTGATTGATTGATTGATTGATTGAACATCTTCTCTCCAGCGCCCCCTGCTGGGCGCAGTGAAGCGGGACTCCCTGCTGAGCGGGCGTCCCATCTGGATGGAGAAGATGGTTCTGGGCCGGGTCAAAGTGCCGCACACCTTCTCCGTGCACACCTACACCCGGCCCACCATCTGCCAGCTCTGCAAGAGGCTGCTGAAGGGGCTCTTCAGGCAGGGCATGCAGTGCAAAGGTGACACTCAGGAGGAACAATATCAAGTTAATCAGGCTTTCTCTAAATACATTAATTTAACTGTATTTATGTATTTTTTGCTAATCCAGTCGCTATATTATTTAATTAAAAAAAACGTTTTAATTGTATTTATTAATTCATTTGTGAAGTGATCACGTGACAGGGGAAGAGAGACAGAGGTATTTTTACCCTTTTTATTAATTACATTATGTATGTTGTGATTAACAGCTATAACATGACAGGGGAACAGACTGGTATTTGTATTGATTGATTGATTAATTGGTTGATGGATTGATTGTTTTTTCTATTGATTGGTTGATTGATTAAGTGATACCATGAAATGTATATTTATTACAAAAAAACTTATTTTATTTAAGTCTTTGATGGAATAACTGTCACAAAACCCAAATGCTAATTCTAATAAAGTTTTATTTTATTGATTGATTAATTGATTAATACATCGAGTACAGATATACCATCGTTTCTGTTGTTCTGTTTCGTTGGCAGAGAGCAAGAGAACATCAATACGTTTATTTAATTGTAATCATTAAACCATGTGTTTTAGTTCACCGGTCAGACACAGCCGTCCCCAGATGTTCAAGCTTCTGTAATGAATGTTTGATTTGTTGTTTTTAATTCTCTGTTTCTCTTCTGCTGCAGATTGTAAATTTAACTGCCATAAGAGATGTGCGGCGAAAGTTCCTCGAGACTGCCTCGGGGAGGTGGACTTCAACGGAGGTGAGATCTACTGTATATTATAATAATCAAAAACGTATTTTATTATTTAAAAAATGTTATAATAGTTTTTAGAATGAATGATTTATTCATATATACTTTTTTTAATTGTCCTTTTTTTTGTATATTTTTGTGTCTTTTACTCATTTTATAATATATTTAAAAATGAATAGTTCATGTATATATACTGATCTTTCTTTCCCAGTAATTTATCATCTATTTATGGCTTTTTTCTGTGTAAATTAATTGTCTTTTTACATTTTTTATTTAAAAATTATAATAAATATGTATATTTTTCCACTTTTTTTGTTATATTTCCTCGGCTTTTTCCATCTTTAATTTCTCCTACTGCGCTTAGGTGTGCCCTAATAAACACCAATGCATATTCCTTGTATGTGTAAACCCACTATAATACACATCATATTTCTCGTGTGTTTCTTTCAGAGCCAGCGAGTCTCAGTCTGGACTCGGAGGCGACGATGGAGGTGGACAACAGCGATGCTAACAGCGATGCTAACAGCGATGCTAACAGCGAACACAGCCTCGACGAGACGGACGACAAGCTGTTCTTCATCGAGGGAAACTGCACCGACGGAGAGAAAGACGACGAGACCATCAGAGCCTTCAGGTACAATAACTCTGGATTACCCATGATGCTCTGCGGTAATCATGTGCATCTGGTTGTCAGATTAATAATACGTTAATTGGATAGTGGTTGAAAGTGTAGAGGGGAAACTTTGATGCCAAGGCCAGCTTCTAACCTGATGTTTGTATATATTGATATACCCTTTCTTTACTTATTGCCCATTAAGGCCTAAAAGATGCTTTGATATAGGCCCAATTCCAAACCGCCCCCTACACACTACCCCTCAGTAAAGTGCACAACAAGATAGACATGTAATATCGTCATACAGATGTTAACAACTTCATGGTTACCTCAATTCTTTTTTAACTTAGGATCATACCTGGGTGTAGGTAGGTAGGGTGTGGTTTGGAATTGGGCCTCTGTATGATGTCTGATGTCTGTGTGTGTGTTTCTGTGTGTTTCTGTGTGTGTGTCTGTGTGTGTGTCTGTGTGTGTGTTTCTGTGTGTTTCTGTGTGTGTGTGTTTCTGTGTGTGTGTGTGTGTGTCTGTGTGTGTGTCTGTGTGTGTCTGTGTCTGTGTGTGTTTCTGTGTGTGTGTTTCTGTGTGTGTGTCTGTGTGTGTGTTTCTGTGTGTTTCTGTGTGTGTGTGTGTCTGTGTTTCTGTGTGTGTGTGTGTCTGTGTGTGTGTTTCTGTGTGTGTGTGTGTGTGTGTGTGTGTGTGTGTCTGTGTGTGTGTTTCTGTGTGTTTCTGTGTGTGTTTCTGTGTGTGTGTCTGTGTGTGTGTCTGTGTCTGTGTGTGTGTGTGTGTCTGTGTGTGTGTTTCTGTGTGTGTCTGTGTGTGTGTTTCTGTGTGTGTGTGTGTTCCCCGCAGTCCGTCCACCAGCACCAACATCCCTCTGATGCGATTGGTTCAGTCGATCAAACACACCAAGAGGAAAAGCTCCACGATGGTGAAGGAGGGCTGGATGGTTCATTACACCAGCCACGACAACCTGGTGAGGAAACACACAATATATATATACACACAAGATGTATACACACAAGATATATACACACATCATATATACACACATCATATATACACACATCATATATACACACATCATATATACACACAATATATACACACAGATCATTTTTAAATGCGTGGGGAAACTGGATTTAGTGACAGATGCTCCCGATAGAATACAAATATACATAGAGACAGTATAATGTACCTCAAAACTGAGCCTAAGTACAGTTCTTAGGTTCATGTTACTTTGCAGCTAGTCTGAAGTTTGTTAATATGTTAAAATCCAGGTTTGGCTGAAAGCTGGTTGGCTCTGTTGTGATAGGTCAACAGCTTAGAGATGTCCCGCCCCCGTAGCCTATCACGTACAATGTGTTGGAGCGCGAGCCAATAGTAGCACGAGTTTTCCATAGTGATGTCGCTATGCTCTGACAGTAACCAAAGGAGTCTAATGGAGGCGTTTCAGGCACGAGGGAACACAGGGATTTCAGCCTTTGCAGACCATTTACATGCACTAAATCCTACAGTCTTACACAGTGTACATACATATTTACATAAACTCTATAATATATAAATAATATATCGTGTGTGTGTTTGTGTGTGTGTGTGTTCAGAGGAAGAGGCATTACTGGAGGCTGGACAGCAAGACTCTGACTCTGTTCCAGAACGAAAGTGGAGCCAAGTATTACAAGGTAGGAGATCCAGGTCCGATTACTGTGTGTGTGTGTGTGTGTGTGTGTGTGTGTGTGTGTGTGTGTGTGTGTGTGTGTGTGTGTGTGTGTGTGTGTGTGTGTGTGTGTGTGTGTGTGTGTGTGTGTGTGTGTGTGTGTGTGTTGTGTGTGTGTGTGTGTGTGTGTGTGTGTGTGTGTGTGTGTGTGTGTGTGTGTGTGTGTGTGTGTGTGTGTGTGTGTGTGTGTGTGTGTGTGATTATTCTCACTTCTTAGTTTTAAATCCCAAATGTTCGGGGGAAAAAAAAGGTCTCTAAATGAAAACAAAAACATTATATAAAATAAATATATGATATTATACAACGATAAATTAAAATGTAAAAAAAATAGTAATTCATATAAAAAAAGAAATGTACATTAACTATAATGAATTGAAAGTATAAGAAATATAAATGTAATTGTATACAACAGGACAAAAATAAATAAATTACATAAAATAAAGTAAATAAGCAGAAAAACAAATATGAAAATATACATATTTTACATTTAATATAGTATAAATACATTTTATATTATCATTTATTTAACAAAAAAATGTAAAGATGTAAAATAAAATATACACAAAAATGAACAAATAAATCTGAAAATAAATAAAATATTAAAATATCTTCAATATAATTTATGCAAAATATTATATATATATTTTAATATTAAATTGAATATATACCGAAATAAAAAAATACATGTGAGAAATTAAAAAGCTAAAAAAATATCAGCTGACAAAATAACTCTCATGTGATGTGAGGTCAGGAATCCAACACGAGGTCAAACCCAAAAACGTTCCAGGTTTTATTTTTGGGATTTCCTAGAAGGAGAATATGTTTCCTGGAAATATGAGCGAGTGATTTGAGGTCAGCTCGTTTCATGTCGCTCCCTTTTGATCCGTTGACCTTCACCTCAAAGAGACTCTCTCCCTCTCCACTGACCCACGTCCTGCCTTTTGATCAGAGAATACACCTGAGTGTGTGGTCGAAGAGGAGGAAGAGGAGGAAGAGGAGGAAGAGGAGGGGCCAAAGACGGGGAGATATTCCTCTCTCTGTGTGTTTGATCTGGCAGCGTTTGGGTTTTCCTTGGAAGGGTTTTTAATGTTAGAAAAGGAAAGAAGGGAAGTTTGAAGTTCAGAGAGAGTCTCAGTTCAGCAGAAACAGGAGAGGGTTCAGATGGAGCTGAAACACTGTCATTTTGATATTTTTTTATTAGTGGAAGTAATGTTTGGACTCAGTAGGGAATGAGTCCTTACCCCAAGTGAAGGAGTTCATGTATCTCGGGGTCTTGTTCTCGAGTGAGGGAACAATGGAGCGTGAGATGGGCCGGAGAGTCGGAGCAGCGGGAGCTTTACCGCTGTGACGAAAAGAGAGCTGAGCCAGAAGGCAAAGCTCTCTGTCTACCGGGCCATTTCCGTTCCTACCCTCACATATGGTCATGAAGGATGGGTCATGACCCAAAGAACCAGATACAAGCGGCCGAGATGGGTTTTCTCCGCAGGGTGGCTCCCTTAGGGATAAGGTGAGAAGTTCAGTCATCCGGGAGGGACTCGGAGTAGAACCGCTCCTCCAGTTGAGGTGGTTCAGGCACCTAGTAAGGATGCCACCTGGGCGCCTCCCTATGGAGGTGTTCCAGGCACGTCCAGCTGGGAAGAGACCGAAGGGTAGACCTAGGACCAGGTGGAGGGATTATATCTCTTGGCTGGCCTGGGAGCGCCTTGGGACCCCCCAGTCAGAGCTGGTTGATGACGGGAGAGGAACGTTTGGGGCTCTCTGCTGGAACTGATACCTCCACGACCCGACCACGGAGAAGCGGGAGAAGATGGATGGATGGATGTTTGGACTCCTTTGTCTTACCGGCAGGAGATCCCCCTGTCCTTGTTAAGGCTTTTCATTGGTTTAAATAATTAATCAATTGGTTTAAATTACTTAATTGACCAGAATGTGAAGAGAGGTGATGTTTTATCAGTCCAGAGGTTTCCAAGCTGAAAGTGGAAGTACGTCCAACAAGAGGACGTTTTTTGATATATTTTTCTTACCGGTAGTAGATCCCGCTGTCTTATTGATCATTTACAAACAATTGTTGCGCCTTTATTGCTTAAAATTACACTTAAAATGGTTATAAAAAGTACAATTTAGCAGAATGTGAAGAGAGGAGCTGTCTTGTTAGTGTTGAGGCTTTGTTTTCCAAGCTGAAAGGGGAGGTTTGTCCAACGAAAGGACGTTTTTTTATTTATTTTGGACTCCTTTTTCGTACCGGCAGGAGATCCCGCTGTGTTTGAGATCCTTTTTAAACCTTTTTTACGCCTTTATTGGTTCAAATTACTCTTAAAATGGTTTTATAAAGTAACATTTAGCAGAATGTGAAGAGAGGAGATGTTTTTAAGTGCAGAAGTGTTGGTTTCTGAACTGAAAGTGGAGGTACTTCCAACAAAATGGAAGTTTTTTGGATAAATTCGGACATTTGTTGACTTATTATTTTCGGACAAACAAGAGATCCCACTGTCTTTGGATCATTTTCAGACCATCGTGGGTTCTTTTTATTGGTTCAAATTACTCTTAAAATGGTTATAAAAAGTAACATTTAGCAGAATGTGAAGAGAGGAGATGTTTTTAAGTGCAGAAGTGTTGGTTTCTGAGCTGAAAGTGGAAGTATTTCTGTCTCTTATGGCGCTTGCATCTACATATTTCTGACGTTCTCTGTCTCCTACCCCACAGGAGATCCCTCTGTCTGAGATCCTGCAGGTGGAGTGTGCGCAGGACTTTGTGAACTTGCCTCCAGGCGGGAACCCTCACTGCTTCGAGGTGATCACGGGGAACATGGTGTACTACGTGGGGGAGAATCTGGGAGAGAAGCATCCCAACACGGCGCTGATGGCGTCCGGATGGGAGAAAGCCGTCCGACAGGCCATGATGCCCGTCACCCCCAAAGCCAGCGGGCAGGGCAAGGAGCACAGTGAGTCCCAGGGATATATACAGATTCATCAATAGTTTACATCACATACAAATAAATAGATAAACACAGAAATGAATCAACAAATGAGGGTGAAAGAAACCCTTAAATTATATGGAGAAAAAATTGATTAAATTACATTATATAAAACAATTATATGTACAGAAGAAATATAAGTATTTCTTCTGCAATAAATAAATACATATACACAGAAATAAAGGAGAGAAACATGTCCTACCAAGGAAGCGTCCTCGACATTGAGAAACACCCCCTGTCTGGAGATCCAACCACTTGTAATGTCAACTTCCTGCACGTTTTTCAAAGTAAAAGCCTCTCAGGGTTGGGAATTGATTCCAGTTCTCAAAACGCTTTCAATGTCAAACATTCGGAGAAAGTGTTACATTTAGACCACCAGAAAGTTACCAAAGAAAACATTTTTTAATTAAAACATGACCGTATCAAGCGTCTTTGAGCATTAGGAAAAGCACTATAAAAATCCCATGTATTATTATATATAAATAGTAAACAATAGCAGCCTTTTTCAAAATAAAAGCCTTGTCCTTTGAGTCTTTTTAAGAATGAACCGACCTGGACTTCCCACAGTTTGAAGTCCTGTCAGTGACGTTACATAAAGTTTGTGTCTGATGACCTGGACATTAACAGACTGGCAGTATTGATCCAGGGATGAAACTGGGACAGAGATCTGAAATCAATCTCAGCTCATGAGTGGAAATTCACTCTGAGCCGCAGCTTCCTCTGAACACAAAGCGCCCTCTTGCTTTCATCCACTGATCTGTTTATTTCACAATGAGCAGAGGATGATCTGACAGCCGTAGAGCTTCTGAATCTTTGATATGATAGTTTCTGTCTGATCAGGATGGACAGACACGACAAAAACCAGCTTTACGCAACATTTCTACTGTGAATGTTCTGTGGAAATACGCTTTAAATGACATAAGAAGCTGAAAAATGCACTTTGGGAATACAGTAGTCCTAAATAACCATCACACAAATGCTCCTTACTGTCAGCATGAAGTCAGTGTGGTTAATTGGCTCCTTGTTAATTTACAAACCTGTTTTGTGTGTGTGTGTGTGTGTGTGTGTGTGTGTGTGTGTGTGTGTGTGTGTGTGTGTGTGTGTGTGTGTGTGTGTGTGTGTGTGTGTGTGTGTGTGTGTGTGTGTGTGTGTGTGTGTGTGTGTGTGTGTGTGTGTGTGTGTGTGTGTGTGTGTGTGTGTGTGTGTGTGTGTGTGTGTGTTCAGAAGAAGTCTCTATCAGCATATCAGTGTCAAACTCCCAGATACAGGAAAATGTGGTAAGTCCTCACTCATGTTTGCTTCTCATTTAAGGGTCAATTATACACTAAGGTTATGAAAAATGTCTCGTGAAATCAACAAAACTCAACTTGTTCTGTGTTGCATGAAAAAAAAATTGTAAGAAAGATGGAAAAATGTTATAGTTTGTAAATATCGGACGACCTGAAATATGATTTATCGTTATGGAGGAATTTTAAGTTAATTTCTTTAACACTTGTTGAGATATGTCACACTGGACGTCTAGCTTCAGTGTGGCTGAATCAATTCTCCATCTACTAACTTTACTCAGAATGTTTTATTGAACGTTTGTCCCTTCCAGGCTTCCATACTCACCAGGGCTTTTAGGTTGAAACGCCAAATAAAACCTCCTTTTTCAAATGTCACAGAGCTTTAAACCTGTTAAGCCCGAGAGCCCCCGGTAGAGGGGGCTGCGAGGTTTTTTTTCTCACGAAACTGTGTCTCAGGACTTCTTAATATTTAAAAACCTATTAATGTGTCATACCAGATTAACGGGAAGAAACTCAGCTAACTGACGATATGAACCATTTTTACCAAAACAAAACACAAGTCTCATAAGAAGCTAACACACTTAGGTACAAAAATACCCTTATTACTTATCGTAACTGCACATACAAGATATCAAACACAGACATCACAACACGTAGCTTTACGGAGCATTCACGGGAGGTGTCAACCATCAAAATCGAGCAAGGGGGGCCAGAGATAGGTCAAATCCACCCAAATGACCCCAGAAGTGTTTTTTTTTTTCTAAACCTCTCTAAAAAGGTCAAATGTCACTTGTTTTGCATCAATCTTGATACAGGGTACTTATTATATGTTGTACTTTGGATTCCTAAAGCTTTTAGTCTACTAACCCATCATCCAAGGGTAGTTTTCACTATAAGTAAAAAAGAACTTTTGGACGGACACTATAATTTACAGTTTTTTACTATGTAAAATCTGAATTTACTTTGAAATTAAAAACATCTATATTGATTCTGACTTTTCTACATCCAACTCACAGGTTTATCATTACTTTGAGAAAAAAGATTATTAATTTAACCCTTTTAGAAGGGAAGATATGGTCATTTGTTCTGGGAATGTCATTTTCGAGCCTGAGGCCTGAAAAACAGGCTCAGGGCTTAACAGGTTAAAGGTGTTCTAGCTTATAATCAAGGCACAGTCAATTACAAATATATGTATTTACTTACTAATTAAACTGTGTGATCTCTCTTTCAGGACATCAGCTCAGTTTATCAGATCTTTGCCGACGAAGTCCTCGGATCCGGACAGTTTGGGATCGTCTACGGAGGTGAGAGGGACACACGCAGCACTTACGGTTAAAAGCCAAATCAAGATAAGAAGCCGGATCAAACACATCAAACCTCTTGAATCTACAAAACAGGCAGAAAGTATAGAAGTCTTCAAATAAAAAGGCTAAGAAAATGCCTTCATGTGTGGATCGTGTTCCTGCTGACTCCAGATAGCTTCCTGTGTAGATAATTAGTTCATTGATTAATGTTTCAGTCGAGAGCTAAAGTGTTTTCCTCCACAGGTAAACACAGAAAGACGGGCAGAGACGTGGCGATTAAAATCATCGACAAAATGAGATTTCCAACCAAACAGGAGAGCCAGCTGAGGAACGAGGTCGCCATCCTGCAGGTACCGAATATATTCAAGATGCACGTACAAATACACATTTAATCAAGTACTGCATCTAAGTACTCTCTTTTGACATTATGCTATATATACTTCTATACATTTGAGAGAATAATATGGTTCTTTTTACTCCGCTATCACACACTAAATCACATTACTACTAATCTACTAGTTACATCTTGACAAACTACTTAGTACAAAGTAATATAATATCTGAAAAGAGCCCTTCTGCATACAGAGTACTTATCCTCAATTCTTTACTTGAAATGGAATATTTTAACATCATTTTATTAGTAAGTAAATAGTCTGAGTACTTCTTCCACCTCTGAATACAGTATACATGCAAGTAAAATGCAGGACTACCTCAAATATATACAATCCTACAGTATATGTACAGTAGAATAAATACTGTATTTGTTTATGTTAAGAAATGTTTGTGTCCAGCAGAATACAATCTGAATATTTGTATCTTAAACTCCTCTTAGGATATGTCAGTAGTAACTCCCAAGTTATTTTTCACTTGTCTTTACATTGTTTTCTAACTTCCTGTTGGATTGGAGTTCTTAAAGCAACTCAAGTGACTAAAACTACATTAAATTGTGTTTCTTGTCCATGTTTTCCCGCCTGTTTCCTTCAGAACCTGCACCACCCGGGCATCGTGAACCTGGAGTGCATGTTCGAGACCCCGGAGCAGGTGTTCGTTGTGATGGAGAAGCTGCACGGAGACATGCTGGAGACCATCCTGTCCAGTGAGAAGAGCCGGCTCCCTGAACGCATCACCAAGTTCCTGGTCACGCAGGTCAGTGAACGCCACATTCTCTCGCACTATTTTATCTGTTTGATTTGTTCTATGTCCTATATTATATTCAGAGATGGCAAAAGTACACACATCCTTTACTCAAGTAGAAGTACAGATACTCGTGTTTAACAATACTCTGGTAAAAGTACTGACTAAACTTCAAGTAAAAGTAAAGAAGTATGGGCTGACCAATCACAACAGAGATAACCAATCAGAGCAGACTGGGCTCTGGTTTCAGACAGAGGGTGAAAAGAGGTGCTGCAGCACATTAAAGCACGGAGACATGTTACAGGTTTGCGAATCCTGTCTGAGTTATTTTAAGATCTCAAAGATTCAAAGACCACAGCCTTGTGTTAAATCTTCTTCTTCACGTTGTGTTTGTAGATCCTCGTGGCCCTCAGACATCTTCACTTCAAGAACGTCGTGCACTGTGACCTGAAGCCGGAGAACGTCCTCTTGACTTCAGCAGAACCTTTCCCTCAGGTTAGAAACACTTAAAGGGGACCTATCATGCAAAATGCACTTTTGTACGTCTTTTATACATGAATATGTGTCCCCAGTGTTCCAGGGAACTCACCAAGTGTCAGAAAACACAACCCTCTCTATTTTCCTCCATACCCAAATCTCTAAAGACGGGGCTGCAACGGATCTGATAAAAACTGATCCAGATTTGAAATTGTTCTGACGTCAGAAACAGGGAGCTCCGCCTATATGGGCAACTCTCCACCTATCAGGGGAATGTGGGGTTGGGCCACGGCCATTGCCGCTCGAAAGCGCTGGAGACGCTGTAGTACATATGCCAGGCCTGTAAGTGGCGCTGTAGTCTGCCACAAAAGCAGCGAAGAAGACTTCTCACAGAATCAGCCCTTGCAAAAACAGGGCTGGAAAAGAGCAAATAGAGCGAAATGAGGCATGGCTAAAATGCATGATCTGTTTGGTATTTTGAAAAAAAGACTTCACAGACATGTTTTATATAGGTATGGCCCTACAATATATTATTCAAATATAGCATGATAGGTAGGGATGTCCCGATCACCTTTTTTTGCTCCCGATCCGATTCCGATCATTTGATTTTGACAATCTGCCGATACCGATTTTTCCCGATCCGATCTTTATGCAATGCATTAAGAGAAAAAAAAGGTAACAGATAACGGCTGGTCATCCAACGCGATGAATTCAGCTATCTTGGCTGTTATTTTTTTGGCCTTTTCACTGTTCTGGGGCAGTTTCTCTTTCCTTTTAAAAGTCTCTGAAAGTGTCGGTTGTTTCAGTGCCGTTACCTGAGTGGCCACTGTGTACTCGTCGTGTTGTTGTTGGTGTTTGTATTAGATTGGTCGTGTTGAACGTAGCTCTGTTCTTTCCACCACGCGGAACCTCCGCCTTGCAAACATTGCATCTGGCTGTTACACTGCCTTCGCTTTCAATTTTATAATACTTCCAAACTCCTGACATTTTCTCTGTCCCGACTCCCGAGTCACCAGCTGAACGTAGCCTCTTGTTAGCTTACTGCTACTATTAGACACTGCGCCCACTCTGTTGCCAGATTTGAGAGAAATAAGCAACCAGGTCGATGAAAACAAGCCCAAAAGAAGCAACACATACATGATGTTGTGTCATTTTAAACCAAAACTAAGGCCTCAGGATGACTTTAAGACGTGAACATCATTCATCATTCGTCATTGTTGTTTTGTAACATTAAATAAAATAATAAAAATATTTTATAAAAAAAAAAAAAAAAAAAAAAAAAAATTCCCGATCCCCGATTTTTTTCTCCCGATTCCGATCTTTTGAAAATCACGTGATCGGCTCCGATCCCCGATCACGTGATCGGATCGGGACATCTCTAATGATAGGTCAACTTTAAAGTAACAAACCTATTTTGAAAATGTAAGAAGTAGAAAGTACAGATATTTGTTTTAAAAATGTAAGAAGTAAAAGTAAAAATGTGTCCAGAAAAATATACTTAAGTACAGTAACTAAGTATTTGTACTCCACTACTTCCCACCTCTCTCCTGCAGGTGAAGCTGTGTGACTTCGGTTTCGCTCGGATCATCGGAGAGAAGTCGTTCCGGCGCTCGGTGGTCGGCACGCCGGCGTACCTGGCTCCCGAGGTTCTGCGGAGCAAAGGTTACAACCGCTCTCTGGACATGTGGTCGGTGGGCGTCATCGTGTACGTCAGCCTCAGCGGGACGTTCCCCTTCAACGAGGACGAGGACATCAACGACCAGATCCAAAACGCTGCCTTCATGTATCCATCGAACCCCTGGAAGCAGATCTCAGAGCAGGGTGAGTTTAACATCTCAACACTGCAATGTGATAGCTAAAGTGCCTTTTGTACCGTAAACAGAGCAGGAGAAGTTGCTGGAATGGCGTCTTATCGCAAATTGTGTATATATATAGTTATATACCTATTTTTATATATCTTTGTTATTGTATTCGGGATTGTGGGAAACGGTATTTCGATCTCTCTGTCTGTACACACAAACTGACAATAAAGTTGACTTTGACCTTTAAAGGGGACCTATCATGCAAAATGCACTTGTGTACGTCTTTTATACATGAATATGTGTCCCCGGTGTTCCAGGGAACTCACCAAGTGTCAGAAAACACAACCCTCTCTATTTTCCTCCATACCCAAATCTCTAAAAAAGGGGCTGCAACGGATCTGATAAAAACTGATCCAGATTTGAACACTGTCCTGACGTCAGGACGGTGGCGCTACGGCTATTGGGCCAACTCCACCAATCAGGAGGAGACAGCCATGGCCATTGCCGTTCGAAAGCGCTGGAGACGCTGTAGTACATATGCCAGGCCTGTAGGTGGTGCTGTTCTCACAGAATCAGCCCTTGCAGAGCAGAGCTAAAAAATGTCAAATTGAGCGAAATGAGGCATGGCTAAAATGCATGATCTGTTTGGTATTTTGAAATAATATAAATATGCCTTATATAGGTATGGTCCTACACTATATTATTCAAATATAGCATGATAGGTCCACTTTAAGTCATTTTTTAGGAACATTTGTCATTCCAGTGTCACCTTGTAACATTAAGTATTCTAAATTAGGATTATTTAGGACATGGGACAACTTTACAACACTGCAATTGTGTAATTGATGTGCTTTTTATACTATAAACTGAGCCAGAAAGTTGGATAAAAGTTGCTTAAATTGTGTTTAAAGGGATTAAACATCTTAAATTGGAGGTATTTTAATAGTAAAATCCGCTAATTTCTCATTAAACAAAAACAACTCGTTCTTCATGTACCCCTCAAACCCCTGGAAGCAGATCTCAGAGCAGAGTGAGTTTAAAATATCAGACTCATAGTGTTTTTAACTTTCCGTCATTTCCTCAGTGAAAGAAAACCTATTGGTTGTTGACTATAAACACCTGGATACATGCAGGAGTATTTCAAGACATTAGATGTAATAAATCCAGATGTATTAAATATATTTGAAGACAGGACTGTGGATCAAACTTTAGATCTGAAGCAGACTTCCTGTAGATGTTCACTCTCAGTGTTTCTTCCTCCTCTTTCAGCCCAGGACCTGATCAACAACCTGCTGCAAGTGAAGATGAGGAAGCGCTACAGCGTGGACAAATCTCTGAGCCACCCCTGGCTGCAGGTAACACACTTTATATGTCTTTTACTAACCTAAAAACAAACCCAGAGGACTCTTCAGACAGCCAAAGGAAATGTAATGTAAAAATCTGTCCTGTGAAATAACCAAAAGTATTCAAACTCAAGCAGAAATGTAGCTTTCGTGCTGGGACATGCCCTCTTTAATAAGCTAATGGAAAAATGTGCTTTTATTAACATGTCGAACTATATTTCTACATTACATTACATTGATGAAATGTAATGTAGAAATCTGTCTTGTGAAATAACCAAAAGTATTCAAACTCAAGCAGGAATGAAGCTTTCATGCTGGGACATGCCCTCTTTAATAAGCTAATGGAAACATGTACTACCTCCTGTAGCACTACCAGACCTGGATGGACCTCCAACATGTTAATAATTGATTATTCGTAATTATGTGTTTCTATAAATGTTGATTTTTGAACTTCACATCACTCTTGCTCTCCGTAATAATCTAATCAAGTGTTTTAAGTGACTCTTATCCTGCTTTCTGGGGGTTTAAATGTTATTTATCCCGTCTTCCTCCAGTTCATTTAAAATACTCTTTTCTGCTGTAACAAATGTACATTTCCCTTCTGTGGGATGAATAAAGGGATTCTGATTCTGATTCTGTTTCGTCCCTCAGGACTATCAGACCTGGATGGACCTCAGAGAGTTCGAGACGCGTCTGGGCGAGCGCTACATCACGCACGAGAGCGACGACGCTCGCTGGGAGGAACACGCAGACGAGAGAAACCTTCATTACCCAAAACACTTCATCATGTCCCGAAACCTGGACGACATGGACGAGGATCCCTGAACATTGTTTCCTATAAGGACACATGGACTCAGGCAGCTGAGAAACGACACTGTGACAATCATTCAGGTCTAGAGAGCTTTTATTTTTAACACATTTTACAGCGTTTGTTTTTTTTACATCCTTGTTGTTCAACTGCTCATTTTATATTCATAGCACGATGAGTCCTAAAACCCGGATGTGAGTCAGCATTTCACCACTTCCTGTTCCCTCGTCTCAAAGCCAACGGGTTTTTTGAACACATTTTAGGAAAATATCTGTAAATAAGGTCTGTGATTGAGACACATTGAAGAGACGGGTCACGTTTTGTTCAAGGACATTAAATCCATCAGCAGTGACCCCACTGGTGATTTCTGAAGAGTTGACGTGTCTGAAAAACGATGGTTGTTACCAAGTGGCTGAATAGGACTACAGAAGTCGTGGAGGCCGTTGTACGTCATTACGCCGAACACGTAAACACTCCTCTAAGTTTGTTAGCCCTGTTCTGCTTGAAAGCAAGTCCCTGCCTCCTGCAAACTGTTCAAACAAACGCTTCAACTCGTACCATTTAGAATCTGTGTGTTTGAAAATGGATCTGAAGTTGGCGTGACGTTGAAGTCGTGCTGCTGGACTCGCCTGTAGTTCCTTTATAGCATCACGTTAGCATTTTGCTTCTGGCCATTCGATTTATGATTCGAACATTATAAAAGTAGGGTAGACTTGTGGAGATTATCCGGCTGAACAAAACGTGCATTTATCAAACAGGTTAGTTTTCCACAGAGCTTATTTTTTACAATATTCCAAAAGCCTATGGAGAAATCCCGTTGCTTTTTTGTCGAGGGAACCCATGCGCAGCTTACTTCAGGGTCGGCCTACAAAAATACGTCATCACTGCACCGCTCCATTACCGGGTTAATTAATATTACATATAATTAGCATTTTTGTGGGGAAATAAAAATTGTACAGGGCGTTTTTGTCAAGACGGTGGAAGAAGTTAAAGGTCAGAGGTGAACCCAATATTTCAGTTATTTGGTGAGCTTCATTACCCCCAAAACACTTCATTATGTCGACCTGGACGATATGGAAGAGGACCGTGAAAAACATTTCCTACGAGGAGACAAAGACTCAGGCAGCTGAGAAACGACACTGTGACGATCATTCAGGTCCAGAGAGCTTTTCTTTTAACACATTTTACAGCAGGGTTTTTTTTCTACAAGCCATAACAAACACACCGAGAGCCAAAAGCTGGAAGATTTTAATAAAGCGTCTGCGCTGCAAGACGAGCTGTAGCTAAAACAAGAGACTTTTTACACTTTTTCAGCAGCATATTTCTAGATCTCTTAAAGCTGTGCAGAGAGTTTCTATGTGACGATAAATCAGGAGAAATGTGTCTTAATTATTTTCTGACTGTAATGTTTTCATTGTTGGGATACTGTTTTAAAAATGGGAATTTCACTGATAATAACTTTTGGTTTGTTCTTCTGCAAAAGTAAACGTACTGTTAATCTGTAACGCTCATTACGCAGCAGAAAACTACATTTTATCAGATGGATGAAAACTTAAGCGTAGCGTTAGCGGAGGTTACGTTTTTGTACGGTGGCCTTTTAAGGACATTTTAGACTTTCAATGCTAATGTTGCAAATCAGAATATTAACTTACAGTTAGCATGCTAACAGCTACGGCAACTATCAGAAAACTCTAGGGCTGTCCTCGACTAAAGCATTTTTAGTTTTACAGATCTGTCTCCTGAGAAAATAATGCAACAGAACTACTTTAAATCTTTTGTTTACCAGAGATGTGCTAAGAAGTTTCTTGGAAAAAGTAATTCAGCATTACAAATGCAGAAAATCTGGCCTTGTCACATGCTAACTTTAGCATACTAACATAAAATGTCAATATATTAGACAAAACAATTCAACCTAAAACGTTTAACCTAATTATGTTTATTCTGATTGGGGATCATCTTATCTCACTTTCATTGTTTTTGAGAAAAGTTAGCTTTGTCACACAAACGCTAACCTTAGAATGCTAAAAGGCTTAATGTCAACAGCTAATGAATAATAAGCTATTTATCTAATGCTAACTTTGCCACCTGCATAGTAAGGCTTTGTGAAACATGACAAACTAATAAAACAGAAGTAAAACTATTGGTTCAAACTGATTACTAAATAAATCTTACATCGAAATGTATTTGAACTTCACTTCTTAAGTAGCCTCCTAGATTAGCTTTTGTAGCTAACTGTGTAGGTATCTACAATGTGAAAGCTAACGGAGCTAGCACAGTAATATTAGCATGTTAAAATGCTCTTTGCTAGCCACTTAATTGTTAACCAGCATACTAATCATCCATTCTTACTTGTTAGCATGTTAACAAAACACTGTGAAAAGGAGTTTTATCTGGCAAACATTTCACATGCTAACTATGCTAACTAAGTAGCCTATGTTTAAATAGGATTATTTAAGACTCAGGTATCATTAAATTAAATTGAGATTATGAAACATTAAACTTTTGCAGAGAAACTTAAGTTATTTTCAGAGTGATTCTCTCACTTTTTCTGATGAAGACGAGCTGAGAATTGAGCTGCTATTGTCTCAGAGCTGCAGCCTGAGAAATTATTTCACGTTTTATATTTTTGCAATAAATGTTTAATGTCATAATGTGGGTGAAAAATTAAATGGTCTACTTTGGGAAAATCAAATGCGACATCCTTGTTGTTCATCTGCTAATTGTATATTCATAGCACCATTACCGGGTTACTTAGTATACAGTGGCGTTTTTATATGTACAAAAGTGGTGGGGCACAAAAAACTTAGATGTCTATATATAAGCTTCTGCAGTGACGTGCAGTGAGGTTCATGGCTGCTGAGACACTGGCACTGACTCTTCAGGTTTACAAATATTATATTTTGACCTAAACCAAAATATAATATTATTTTCAAAAGCTTTTTTTGTCTGATGCTTCGATTAATTTTAAACAGACAGTTCAACAAAAGGATACCCAACAAATGTAATTTTATCATTTAAATATTGAATTGTTCTCTCTTAGTAAGATCCCATTTTCAATAAAATGGCGGTCTTACCTTGACTTGAAGATGAAGTCCATTTGCCTATCCTTCTGGACAAACATTTCTATTACTTTTTTGTAAAAGTCCTCCTTATGTTCTTGTAGTTTCAAAAGTCTATCATAAATCTAATCCATAGATTTATGATAAAAAAATTATAAAAGTAGGGTAGACATGTGGATGTTATCCGGCTAATCAAAACGTGCATTTATCTAACAGGTACGTTTCCCACAGATCTTATTTCGAGCTATTTTCTAAAATCCTCTGGAGAAATCTCATTGCTTTTTTGCAGCTTACTTCCTGGTTTTAGGACGCGTCACTGCAGCTCTCTCGTCTCCTCTTCACACACCACACTTTTCGCGGCACACGTACTTACAGCCAATCAGCTCTGAATGATTTGAGAAGACGTATGGTGGGGATGGTAGCTACGTGCCCCTCTGGTCATTATTTTTTTGCCACACACATTACATTACAAAATACTCTGAGTATGCGCAGTGTAGTTTTTACAGTCACCGTTCACTTCACAGCGAGAGGAAGGGGCATAATCAGGTTTTGTCCCACATGGCTCTAAACAGCTCAATAGGCACACACTGTGACTGTAGACACACTAATTAGAAGAACACAGACTAAAACAGCAATGTACAGACGAATCAGATGATTAAACATGATCTTAAAATATATTTTATATATTTTTTTATTTATTTCTTTTGCATTTTTGTAATCATTATTTGTAATACTTTCTGCTGACACTAGGTGGGGCTGTGCCCCACCTGCCCCTAATGACCAGTCGCCACTGTTAGTATAACATAATTAGCATTTTTGTTGGGAAATAAAAAAAGTACAGGGCTTTTTTGTCAAGATGGAGGAAGGAGTTAAAGGTTTTGAAACACGTTATTGCAGCAATGTTTGCTTTAAAGTCTAAAAATGTCATTTTTTGGGGTTCAAGCTATTCTTTTTAACCTGCAAAATCACTCTTGTAAAAAAGGATGTATCTTTAAAACATCTTAAATTGGATGTATTTGAATAGTAATATCCTCAGACTCAGCAAAACACACACACACACACACACACACACACACACACACACACACACACACACACACACACACACACACACACACACACCGGAGGAGCAGCGGCTCGTTGTGAGCTCAGCTAACAAGTTCAAGATGTGACGGAGCCTGAGCGACAACCTCAGCGGGGCCATATTCTGCTCATTTTCAGGTGTATATCAGTATGTAGTGTCTCTACTTTAAAGAGTCCTCTCCTGCTGATGTTCAGGTGTATATCAGTATGTAGTGTCTCTACTTTAAAGAGTCCTCTCCTGCTGATGTTCAGGTGTATATCAGTATGTAGTGTCTCTACTTTAAAGAGTCCTCTCATGCTGATGTTCAGGTGTATATCAGTATGTAGTGTCTCTACTTTAAAGAGTCCTCTCATGCTGATGTTCAGGTGTATATCAGTATGTAGTGTCTCTACTTTAAAGAGTACTCTCATGCTGATGTTCAGGTGTATATCAGTATGTAGTGTCTCTACTTTAAAGAGTCCTCTCATGCTGATGTTCAGGTGTATATCAGTATGTAGTGTCTCTACTTTAAAGAGTCCTCTCATGCTGATGTTCAGGTGTATATCAGTATGTAGTGTCTCTACTTTAAAGAGTCCTCTCCTGCTGATGTTCAGGTGTATATCAGTATGTAGTGTCTCTACTTTAAAGAGTCCTCTCCTGCTGATGTTCCAGGTGTATATCAGTATGTAGTGTCTCTACTTTAAAGAGTCCTCTCATGCTGATGTTCAGGTGTATATCAGTATGTAGTGTCTCTACTTTAAAGAGTCCTCTCATGCTGATGTTCAGGTGTATATCAGTATGTAGTGTCTCTACTTTAAAGAGTCCTCTCCTGCTGATGTCCAGGTGTATATCAGTATGTAGTGTCTCTACTTTAAAGAGTCCTCTCCTGCTGATGTTCAGGTGTATATCAGTATGTAGTGTCTCTTCATGTCTCCAGGCTTTAATGTTCAAAAAGCTCTTTATTTTTCTCATACTGTCTGTGCTGCAGCACCTCTTTTCACCCTCTGTCTGAAATCAGAGCCCAGTCGGCTCTGATTGGTTAGCTGGCCTGCTCTGTTATGATTGGTCAATCACGTACAATGTGTTGGAGCGCTAGCCAATAGAAGCATGAGTGTCACATCTGGATGTCACTAAGCTCGGGAAGTAAACAAAGGAGTCCAATGGAGGCGTTATACATTTTATAAATACTTTTTATCTCTGTCAGCTTTACAAACAGTATCGTCCCATGAACATGATCTTCTGAAATGTCCCGTAATGTCCGTCCCGAGCTTGTAAACGTCTCCAGAGTCTCTAAAGTCTCAGGAGAAGCTGATCTCGGTGAATCCGCCCACAGGAAGCGGCGCCGGGCTCTTATCCTCCAGCTTCATACCCTCTGATTTTTTGGGTTCGGCGAGCCGGCTGTGGTGCAGCAGACTGAAGAACAGGAAGCGCTCGCCCATCTTCTCCGGATTCATCAGCATGTCGTAGCTTCTGATCAGCTGCATACGGGTGGGCCCGTGACTGCAGTTCCTCAGAAGAACCTGCGGAGAACCAGAACCACAGAATCAGAGGTGTGTGTTCTGTAAAACTAAAAAATAATCCATATCCACTCAGGACCTTTAATTTAAACACCCTTTTGTCATTATATCTGACCTGCATGCGAGAATCGATGCCCATGTTTGATTTAATTAATGTTTAGGAGCTTTTGTGGACATGTATACAGCACCTTCAGTCGCCATTTTTTGTAATATGATATACTAATATTGTCATTTATAGTGTTTTAGGAAAATAAAATAAAAACTAGACTAAATCAGGAATAGCTATAGTCCTAATAAAACATGTTGCCCACTAAATGTGATGTCAACCCATGCTTGCATAAATGTTTCTAAGTCTTATCATGCTCTAAAATAATCCATATCCACTCAGGACCGTTAATTTAACACCCATGTGTCATTAAATCTCTTGTTCTAGTGATAAAACGTAGCGTCTGTCAGACTGACCTCCATGCGGGTGTCGATGCCCATGTTTTTCAGGAACATATTTTGAGTGACAGGTCCCAAACAGGCCACGCCCCCTCCGATCATCGTCCGCAGGAAACTGAAATCAACGTCAGCCGTGAGGTCAGCTGATCCGGGCGAGGAGAGGACGTCGTGCAGCCGGTGGCCTTTAAAACCCTGACGAGGAAATTCAATATAATATTTATATAGACAGAGAAGCAATAATGTGCACATTGGACCTAAATATCAACAACAACAAATATGTCCAATATGTATATTACAATATATAATGTAGTCTATTGATGCCTATATTTATATTAATGGTAAAATAATAATAATAACCTGGATTTAAGTCCTCATTTGTGATTAAAGCGCTGAACGAGCTCCATGTGCATTGTTTAATCTCAAAGTGACATTTAGCATCACGTATTCTGCACATTGACAGGATGATCTCACTTTAGTTTGCTCGTACCAACAGTCTTTTTATCAGCGATGAATATTTAAAATACGATGTGTCCCCTCTTTAGGTACACCTAATCCAAAATAACAGTTTTTGTAAAAAAGTTTAGTCAATTTGATGCTTTTAAATGAGGTCAATATTCACTTTCATAAAGCGTGTTGTTATTAAGAAAGGTGCTGTAAACACACAATTATTATTTACATTACATTTTTTTTATGCATGCTTCTTGGGTAACATTAAACTGTCTTTGACTCTTTTCTTGCTGTAACAAATGCAAATGTCCCCTCTGTGGGACTAACAAAGGTATTCTGATTCTGATGTCCGCTGCTTGAAAAAGGGTTTCCTCTCACTCTGAACGTGTCCGTCTTCGTTCCATCGTGTCCGTAATCGGCGATCAGAGCGGCTCCTCCGTCTTCAACGATCCTCCGAGAAATCTGCTGCACGAGAACCCCCCCGTCTGCACACACCTCCACGTGAGACCTCCTCTCCTCAGGCTGCAAGGACACACACACATCTAGATTCAAATTCAAATGTTTTATCATCATATGCTCAGCAGCTACAGCGTAGAAATGGCAATGAAATTATTCTGACCTGAGCTCCTCCAACAATGCAACATATATAATAAACATATATAGTGCAAAACGTCTATATACATTCAGGAATGACTTCAACAAGATAAACCAATTATAAAGTGTAGTCCAGAGTGTATCGGCTATTATGGTATTTTTATCTTTAATATTTGTGTATGCATGCTTCTTAGTTAACATTATTTGTTACATTTATTGTGGGGCGAATAAAGGTATTCTGATTCTGATATATAAATTGTATTATCTACTATGCATCTGAATGGAAATTGCTGTCAGCCTATCATAACACATTTACATTACGAATTAAATGTGCTACAGTACCTGCATTTTTGGTTATAGAAATGTTAAAGGAAAGAGTAATTATTAGACAATCCCTTATATTTAACTTAAAGGGGACCTATCATGCAAAATGCACTTTTGTACGTCTTTTATACATGAATATGTGTCCCCGGTGTTCCAGGGAACTCACCAAGTGTCAGAAAACACAACCCTCTCTATTTTCCTCCATACCCAAATCTCTAAAAAAGGGGCTGCAACGGATCTGATAAAAACTGATCCAGATTTGAACACTGTCCTGACGTCAGGACGGTGGCGCTACTGGCTATTGGGCCAACTCCACCAATCAGGAGGAGACAGCCACGGCCATTGCCGTTCGAAAGCGCTGGAGACGCTGTAGTACATATGCCAGGCCTGTAGGTGGTGCTGTTCTCACTGAATCAGCCCTTGCTAAAACAGATCTAAAAAATGTCAAATTGAGCGAAATGAGGCATGGCTAAAATGCACTGATCTGTTTGGTATTTTGGAAAAGAAAAAGTATAAATATGCCTTATATAGGTATGGTCCTACACTATATTATTCAAATATAGCATGATAGGTCCACTTTAAAGTCTCTAAGATGAGACAAAAAAAAACTATGTAAGAATCCATAGCAAGGACATACATTTAATAATGTTTTTTGGTGTGGTTTGGAAAGAATTTAAACCAGGATTTTGCACGAAATAATCCTGCAGTATCTCTTAAGACCCTCTAGACATTTAAAACAAATTAAAATGTGTGTTTTAGACTGTTTTTGAGCAGAAATAGGAAATTCAAAGCCGTCATCTTGATATTTAGGAAGTTCTGATGCACAGGTTTTCATCGTTTTACTAGCAATTATTAAAATAATCATTCATTGGAGCCTTAATTCATAGTTTATATCCCAGTTAGTAAAACTAGATTGATTAAAATGCTATGTGATTATGTTTTCACTCGTTTAAAGTCACAATCTGACACACTTTGGATCTTAGAAACGTTAAGAACAGCACTCAGTGTTTAACTTTCAAAACACAGAGCGAGCCATGAGGAACTCTCTAAAGTTTCATGGTCTGTGATTTGAGGACGTGGAGAGTCTGAACTGGATTTAAAAAGACGACGTCAGGCCTCTGGCAGGAAGTTCAAAGAGTCTGCAGAGAGCCAAATCAGACGGTTAGATGTCTTAAATGTGGGCAGTAAAAACCAGATGTGTGCTATAAAATAAAACCTTCTGAGAGTCTAAATGAGGAGTTCATTTCCACAGAGATTAAAAGATTAACGACGTCCTCGCTCTGTACTGTACAGTTAGAATTATGCAGTTCACAAGCGTTTCAAGTTCAGTCAAAGAGGTCCAATATGTCTCCATGCTTTAAAGGTCACCTATTATGCAAAATGCACTTTTTGATGTCTTTTATACATAAATGTGTGTCAGGAGACTCACAAAGTGTCAGAAACAAACCCCTCTCTCTTCTCCTCCGTACCCACATCTCTAAAAACGGGGGAACAACGGAGCTGATCCAGATTTGCTGCGTCATGACGACATTACTAAAATGTGGGCGGGCTTTACACCCACGGGCCAATCAGAAACGTTGCTGTCAGAAACAATGAGACATGTTCTGGAAGTAATATGGTCTGTGTTTACATTAGCATCGCTAACACTCAGAGCTAACCTGTACTGGAGAGAGTATGAGTAAAGAAGCAGGAACTCACCTTGTGGTAAACCTGAGAGAGAGAAAGAGTTTGAGCTCCATACTGTTTCAGAAATAATCCTTGGTGTGGTTTGGAACATGATACGCAAACATTTCCCAAAATGGGATCAATAAAGTACTTATCTATCTATCTATCCATCCATCCATCTATCCATCCATCCATCCATCTATCTATCCATCCATCCATCCATCCATCCATCCATCCATCCATCCATCCATCTATCCATCCATCCATCCATCATCCATCTATCCATCTATCTATCTATCCATCCATCCATCCATCTATCTATCCATCCATCCATCCATCCATCCATCCATCCATCTATCCATCCATCCATCTATCCATCCATCTATCTATCCATCCATCCATCCATCCATCTATCCATCCATCTATCTATCTATCCATCCATCCATCCATCCATCCATCTATCCATCCATCCATCTATCCATCCATCTATCCATCCAACCATCTATAATATACAATGTGTTGGAGCGCTAGCCAATAGGAGCTCAGAGCGATGTCACAATGTTCCAGAACTTTGGGATTTGAGCCTTTGCAGACCATTTACATGCACACAACCTATAGAACACACTACAGGAAAAGCAAGGCAGCATAGGGCCTCTTTAAACCCTTGAATCACTTTGTTCTCAGTTCATATTCCCCGTGTCTCACCTGTATGAGCGCGGACGAGGCAGGTGTGGGAGACGGAGAGACGACGAACCTCAGCCGGTTCTGTTTCTCCGGGTCGATGTCCACCAGAACCTCCCTCCAGCCTTTAGGCGTCCTCTAATCAAAGAATAGACAAGTTAATACAAACAAGTACTCATTTAAAAAGACCAATTCTGACATGAAGAGTTTTACAGGCTTTAAATCCCACCTGAAATGTGTGGATGGGCAGAGCGTCAAAGAACTCGTTAGCGATAAAGATGCTGAATCCTGAGAGAAGAAGAGAGACTGAGATTATGAACCTGCAAATACAAATATCTCTTATAGGGTGTGAAGAATAAAAAAATTAAATATATAAGGAGAAATATAATCGTTAAGCTGAGAGAGTGAAACATCACTGGTTAAAAATGTGTTAATTTTCGAAAAATATAGGTACGTTAAATAAAATGAACCTGACTTTCTTTTTAAATCATATTATATATATATATATATATATAAAATAAAAATAAATCTTTTACTATTGACAAATTACTCTATTTTTGAAAAGATACCTCACTTTAAATCTGACTATAAATGTTTTTTAACTACTTTATTTAGAAAAAAGAGATATGCCCTATAATGACTTAATTCTAGAAATAATATAGGTTTTTGTACTTTTTTGAAAAATAACCTCCCAATAAAGTTATTTGTAGAAAATTCCAAACTTTTTGAAAATTACTTAATTTAAGAAAAATTGCCTGACTTTTAAAAATTACTATTTCAAAAGAATTACCTTAGAAAATTATTTCTTTGGGGGGGGCTTGTTCGACTTTTCAAATAATTATTCACTTTGTTTCCCTCCTCCAAAATGGACCAAACTTGTTTCCAGTGCTGCTCTCTACCTGCAGGCACGTCCTCCAGGCAGCGGTACCAGAACACCGGCAGCCCGGCGCTCGTTTCCCCTCGTCTGAACACCGGGTCGTCCTCGCTGCTCGACTCCACGCTGCTCCCCCCCGTCAGAGTCTGAGCCTGAACGCCACTCAGACCCGGACTCACCTCCACCAGGTGGAGAGACACCGAGCATCCATCCAGCACCGACTTTAACTGGTTGAACACCTGCAGAGAGACAGGAAGTACATCCTTACTGCACAGGTGAGGAGTTAAACACAGAGCTCTCACACACACATTTGGACTTATCCAGAGGTGGGAAGTAGTGGAGTACAAATACTTTGTTACTGTACTTAAGTACATTGTTCTGGTATCAGTACTTTACTCCATTTACTTTGACTTCTTACATGTTGAACCCAAATACCTGTACTTTCTACTTCTTACACTTTGAACACAAATACCTGTACTTTCTACTTCTTACACTTTGAACACAAATACCTGTACTTTCTACTTCTTACATGTTGAACACAAATACCTGTACTTTCTACTTCTTACATGTTGAACACAAATACCTGTACTTTCTACTTCTTACATGTTGAACACAAATACCTGTACTTTCTACTTCTTACATGTTGAACACAAATACCTGTACTTTCTACTTCTTACACTTTGAACACAAATACCTGTACTTTCTACTTCTTACACTTTGAACACAAATACCTGTACTTTCTACTTCTTACATGTTGAACACAAATACCTGTACTTTCTACTTCTTACATTTTGAACACAAATACCTGTACTTTCTACTTCTTACATGTTGAACACAAATACCTGTACTTTCTACTTCTTACATGTTGAACACAAATACCTGTACTTTCTACTTCTTACACTTTGAACACAAATACCTGTACTTTCTACTTCTTACACTTTGAACACAAATACCTGTACTTTCTACTTCTTACATGTTGAACACAAATACCTGTACTTTCTACTTCTTACATTTTGAACACAAATACCTGTACTTTCTACTTCTTACATGTTGAACACAAATACCTGTACTTTCTACTTCTTACATGTTGAACCCAAATACCTGTACTTTCTACTTCTTACATGTTGAACCCAAATACCTGTACTTTCTACTTCTTACATGTTGAACCCAAATACCTGTACTTTCTACTTCTCACATTTTCCAAACAGGCTGGTTCCTTTAGTTTGAATGTGTGTTTGGTGGCGTGATCATTATTATTTAGAGTCATTGCGTGCCTATTGATTTGAACACGATCCGTGTATCCATCATTTCCTGGTCTTCTCTAAAGAAGAGGGACCAATGAAAACGTTGTCATGTTGCCGTTGTTCAGCATGGAAACATTCATTAGCTAACAATGACATTATTGTTCTGTTAATATAAAGGGAGGTCAGGTACTCTTTAAAACAGCTGCTAGTTATGGGTACTTTTTACTGAAGTACATTTCAAAGCCCATACTTCTTTACTTTAGTATTTTTAAAACACGAGTATCTGTACTTCTACTTGAGTAAAGGATGTGTGTACTTTTGCCATCTCTGGATTTATATCCTCACTGACATATTGTTTGCCTTAACCCTGACTTTAACCTAAATCTGGTTCTAAACTCTTGAACCTTAATAAATGCTGTTTTCACTTAAAGGTCCTTGTTAAAGTGACGATCAGGTAAACTCACTGTAAAGGTCCTCACAAAGGCACATATACAAGAACACACACAGGGTTATAGCGCCCTCTGTTGGGAGCAAAACACATTGTCTTCACATCAGCACAAACTGTAAATACACTGCTAATTAAAGAATCAGATATTATCTCTTATCAAGAATTAGACGAGAAGATACAGCACCACTCTGGTTAGCTTAGCTTAGCATAAAGAAACAGTAACATCCTGAAGTCTTTACTAACATTGAGGACATGTCTTTTACATTATATTATAATACTGAATAAAGTTCATACTCTGAGGATGTCGCTGGCTAACGATCCTTTTCCAGGTCCGAGCTCGACCAGCTGCAGATGTTTGGGTCGACCGGCTGCCATCCACTCGCTGAGGATCCACACACCGAGCAGCTGGAAAACACAACAACACACATTAAAAACACCACGAGGAGAAACTTTAACATGTTTTATTATTTAACTGAGAAGAAATGAGATGTTACTTATCAGCCTTTCCGCTAATAGACGTACAAATATTACATTTTTGGTACATTTTCAGGATGCAGATGGATTAAATAGACAAAGTTAAGGCTGAAACTGTTTTCTAAAAGTGGAAATCAATGTTCAAGTTTCAAAGTATGAAAACATTTATTTTAAAGTTTTCCAGGTTTTTCATTTTGAAACTGATTTTGAAACTGATATTTAACAACTGTGTTATATAATGAGTTGTCTGACTGAAATAGTAATGTGGAGTAAACAGACTGTTAACAATATATATTTGGAGAAAACATAGCTATAGAGGAGATTGGTCAGGTTCAAGTATTATAATATAATGTTGTATAAATGCCAATAAAACATGTAATCTCAAATTATTTCCTGTAAAAAACTGAAAAACACAACAGACTTGTATTTCCTGTTAATGTGGATTTCTTTCCGCCTCACCTCTCCAAAAATCTGGCTGATTTCTGGTGAAGTGATGAAATCTCCGTCAGGTCCCAGCATGTTGTTCCTCACATAATAACCCTGAAAGAGGAAAACAAAAAACGATAATGATTTTATAACTGTCAGGGAATAATTTCTCCCTACATGTTTACCATTCGCCCTCTGACGCAGCTGACCAGCCTTGATCAGCCGCTATCTCCCTTAAGGAGGGGCTGCCCTAGCAAGTTGTTACCAGTTTGTGACCGGGCAGCTCTCGGTCAGAGATAGTTATTGTTGTGGGACACCTGGAACACATCCTTCTCGGGGTGTAGATGACCCCGAGCCATGAGCGACAACAAATGTGATTCAGTGTCCTCAGCTGTTTAGTCTCTCTATTGAAGAATGTTGATTATTACACTCTGAACTAGTTAAACCCTGGAGCTACAGGAGGGGTCTTCAGAATTGATTGTGGCATCTCAACCGCGTGGTCAGACCGTGGCCTGTGACAGGTCTTGTGAATTCTCCGGCCGAAGCTCCAAATAAACCGACAGTGTTTGCCATCAAAGCTCCAGCTCTCCTCGTGTCTCTCTGAGTCCTGTTTCCAATTGCTTCAGAAGTTTCCCCCACAATAATCATTCATTATTTTAATTGATTAGATAAATCCACTTATTGTTGCAGCTTTAATCTGTGGACTTTCTGAGCCCTTGGAAAATGTAACTTATACTGTATTTTATTTACTACATTCACATTAATATTAAATACAATCATTATATAATTCAATTCTGATTTGTGTCAGGTTGCTATGTCATTCAAAACGTTTCTTTATCAAAACAAAAGTTCACTTTTTCACAATAAAAGCATCTAAATATCAAACAGGCTGTTTTCTTCGGCTGATCCAGGATCTGTGGAGCTGCTCTGACAGATTTCAGGATGACTGACTATCCCTCACCGTCACTGGGTTGGTGAGCACCTCTCTCATGTATTCCGCCACTGTGATGGGACCAGTGGCTTTTATTTTGAAGGTCAGGTGTTTCAGCATGGAGGGGCGGGGCTTAGATTCACCTGCTGAGAGGAGTCTGCTCTGAGCCAATCGCCATCCCACTGTCAAACAAAAACATGTAAAAATATATACATTATTTTCACATGCATTTATTTAATTACATACATACAACAACATATTATATAATTATTTTTGAATCCACTTTATGAATAGAATATTCTCCCATTATGAAATATAATAAAAAAAATAAAGAACTTATAAAATATGTGTTGTCTTCTTCTTTTCACACATATACATATAATATAATAGGGAGGCTGTGGCGCAGTGGACTAGTGCGTTTGTGTTGGGATCAGGGGGGCACAGGTTCAAACCCCACTGCAGTCAGCATGTCGTTGTGTCCCTGGGCAAGACACTTCACCCCAAAATTAATTTGTGTGCATTAATCTGAATTAAGTCTTGTTAAAATAGATAGTGTATATATATTAGCTCAATGCACTCACCTGCTGCTGAAGGATGGACAGGATGCCTGAAGACTCTGCTGATCAACTGCTGAGTTTTGACACCAAAACAAGCCCTCATTCTGCTGTTTATAATCATATTAACACAACTAGGTTTACTACTTTACAATATGTGGTATATAATAGCTGCCATGGTAGCATTATCTAACGAGAACAGTGTGATTATAATGCAGTTTAAACCACATGTCTGCAGAGAAGCTAAAAGCTACAAAGTCCTTCAAAAAGCGAAATGCTAACGTAGTAAACATCAATGAAATAAAGGACATCCGGCTAACATTTCACAATAAAACGCTTTCTCAGTAGATATTGTGCTCTTTTCTTTTTCAGAGTGTTTTTTGGTGCTTAAATACAATACGATGTACAGTCCTACATAAAATGTTATGTCACTATAATAATATAAGGTTAAAAAAAAGAAACTGTAACCCCTCTGTTGCGTTTACTATTTTATTTTGAAAGGACATTTTCAAGCGTTGTCGGAACCATGAAATTAAGCTTGACTGTTAAGCGAAGGACAAACTCCCTGATTGGACGAACGGCTGTGACGTAGGTGAAAGAAAACATTTTTGATTGACTCGGGAATTATTATTTGTTATTATTTATCTATTTTAAAGGCACATTAATGACCACTCACATGTTGCTATTCTACTTTAATTAATAAATACAATTAAAAAAAAAGGAAACCTCCCGGAAACACTCGCCATTACGTCACCTTCCACATCCGGGTCACGTTCTCCTCATGCTGTAGAAAGCAAGCATGGCGGCGAAAAACAAGCAACGTAAAAAATCCAAAGCGGGCTTTAAAGTGTCTTTTCAGCCGGCAAAAGATGACATGGAGGACGAAAACAGGCGGCGGGGAGGAGGGGGAAGATCCTGCGGAGGATGGACGTAAAGACAAGGGCAAGAAAGCAGAGGAAGAAGAGTTTAACCTGGATGATGTTCTCCGGCTGGGAGGAACACAGGTGAGTTTACCAGGAATACAAACTTTAATATCTTGTAAATAACAGTCATAATAATAATAATAAAGCTTTATTTGTATAGCAGTTTTCATACACCAGGTTCAGCTCAAAGTGCTTTAAAAACATGGCATGCATCACAAATTAAAGCAAATTCACTTCATGTCAAACCTTTTGGCACACATGCATAAAAGTATAATGTCAAAATTCAAGGGACACAAGGAGGTCAACGGTATGATAAGAACAATACAATTAAATAAATAGTGATTGGAGGACTGGCTTGGAGGAACTCGGGTGAGTTTATCAGGAAAACACCTTAATATGTTGTAAAAAGTGGTTCAAATGTACTCAAATACTTACATGTTACTGAAGTAGAAGTACATGAGGTACTTCTTGAGTATTTCCATGTTATGCTTCTGCATACTTTGCACAATGTTTATCTGACAGCTTACGATCATTTTTCCACACCAAACCTGTGTTTTGCTATCAATTAAACTACACACAATGGTTTATACAGGTACAGAGGAAACGAGAAGTCGATTATCCAATTAACTTAAGTAAATAATACACTGCTGTGTTTAACATAATAATACAAATAGTAATAATACACAATATGTTTCACTACTACACAGTATTGGCTGTTACATGTCCAATATGTGTAATATGTAATTGTTAAGCGCTTTGAGCACTTGAAAAACTGCTAAAATAAAAAAATGTAATGAATTATTATTATTAATTATTACTACTGATTTATACTGTATTCATGACGATGTGTATTTCTTCTTCTTCAGGCCGACTACGTCCTGCTCGCCAACCTGAACGATGAAAACGAGCTGGTGGACGGAGGAAAGAAAGGAGCGATCGACGACCTGGAGGAAGGCGAGCTCGAGAAGTTCATCAAAAAACTGGGTATCCGATCCATCGAAGGACTGCAGATCATCCCCGACGAGCCGGAGGAAAGCGCTGAGGAGACGGAGGGTACAGAGGGTACAGAGAGTAAAGTGATTAAAGGGATACAAGAGGGTACAGAGAGTAAAGTGATTAAAGTGATTAAAGAGGGTAACAAGGCCAAAGAGAAGGAAGCCGCTGCAGCGAAGGAACAAACATCCAGCGTGCCGCCCAAAGTGGAAACCATAAAGAAAGAGAAGAAGGCAAAAGAAGGCCGGAAGAAGAAGCAGAACGTGAATGTGTTTGAGTTCCAGCCGAGGAAAATCCTGCTCATCAGACCCGGGGGGAAGTGGTTCGATCTGGAATACACCGCGGAGGGAGCAACGTCCCCACAGGATCCCTCTCTGATCTCTCAGTATAAAGCTCTGGCCGTCCAGCTGTACGAGGCCGACCAGGGGCTCTACAAAAGCAAGAAGAACCTGCAGAAAGGAGCCAACTCCAACTGGATGAAGACGGTCGTTTCCTCCGGCGTGCTGGCTGACAGGATGGCGGCCATGACGGTTCTGATCCAAGACGCTCCGGTGCACACGCTGGAACACGTGGAGAACCTGGTGGCCATGGTGAAGAAGAAGGGCAGTCGGAGGCAGGGTTTGATGGCGTTGGACACTCTGCGGGAACTTCTCCTCTCCGATTTACTCCCGGAAAACAGGAAGCTCCGATCCTTCGCCGAGCACCCGTTCGATCAACTTGAGGAAAAGGCGAGCGGAAACAGAGACGCTCGAGATCGCCGACTCATCCTCTGGTACTTCGAGCACCATTTGAAGCACCACGTCGCCGAGTTCGTGGCGGCGTTGGATTCCGTCGCTCACGATACGGTCGCGGCGACGAAAGCGAAAGCGTTGGCGACGGCTCACGAGATGTTGTGCAGTCGACCGGAGCAAGAGAGAGCGCTCCTGATGCAGGTGGTCAACAAACTGGGCGACCCGGAGTACAAGACGGCGGCGAAAGCGTCCCATTTGTTGGAGTCTCTGATTCACAAGCACCCCAACATGAAGGTGGTGGTGAGCTGCGAGGTGGAGAGACTCATGTTCCGACCCAACATCAACCCCAAGGCTCAGTATTACGCCGTGTGCTTCCTCAGCCAAGTGATGCTCAGCCACGACGAGGCAGATTTAGCCGCCAAACTCATCACCATCTACTTCTCCTTCTTCCGCGCCTGCGTGAAGAAGAAGGACATCGAGTCGAAGATGCTTAGCGCGCTGTTGTCGGGCGTGAACAGAGCGTATCCCTACGCCGGCTCCGGAGACGAGAAGGTGAAGGAGCAGCTGGACACGCTGTTTAAAGTCGTGCATCTGGTGAAGTTCAACACGGCCGTGCAGGCGCTCATGCTGCTGTTCCAGGTGATGGACTCACAGCAGAGCATCTCAGATCGATACTACGTCGCTCTGTACAGGTAAGCATTGCATTTACACTTTCATCCAAAGCTACTTACAAAACGGAGCATTATTCAAACTCAAAGCAGCAACAATCCTGCAGGTACATTACTTCACATGTCACGCTTTTATCCAAAGTGACTTACATACTCAATCCTGTGGACAATCCCCACAGGAGCAATTTGGGGTGAAGTGTCTCAGGGACACAACGACATGCTGACTGCAGTGGGACTCGAACTTGCTACCCCCTGATTCGAAGTTCAGCGCACTACCCACTGAGCCACAGCCTCCCCATTAATCGTTTTAAACCAAGTGCTTCATGCAGACGTGTTCTCAACCTTACTGCTGTGACTTCATATTCTCCTTTATGCATTTACCTGGCTATTTAATCCCACTTTATTTCATTTTAAGTGTATTTGAGAGGGACAAATACAGTTTGTATATATAGAGCCTTTGCTAAGTCCCGCCCCTCGAATATAGACTGACCAATCATAGCATAGGATGGCGTCTAGAGTGTGCGTTAATGAATAAGAACTAATATTAACTAGTCTTAAAGGTGATGAAACCACTTTAATATGAAAAGTCATCATTTAGTCGTGAAATCAGGAACATCAGGGCTTTAGATTATTACAGAAACATAATCAAATGAATATTAAATGTAAGAATGAGCTCTGAAAATTGACATTTTACAACCTAAGCTGCTGATATTTAGTTTGTTCAATTTGTTTGTTGGGAGTTTTATTCAGATTTCTCTTCTGTTTTCCTCCTCCTCCCCCTCCCCCCTCCTCCTCCTCCTCCTCCTCCTCCTCCTCCTCCCCCTCCTCCTCCTCCCCCTCCCCCTCCTCCTCCTCCTCAGGAAGCTTCTGGACCCCGGTCTTTCTTCCTCTTCTCGTCACAGCATGTTCCTGAACCTCCTCTATAAATCCCTGAAGGCGGACATAGTCGTCCGTCGTGTGAAGGCGTTTGTGAAGCGCCTGCTGCAGGTCAGCGCCGAGCAGAGCGCCTCCTTCACCTGCGGAGCGCTCTTCCTCGTGTCCGAGGTGATGAAGAGCAAACCGGCTCTCAAGATCCTGCTGCTGGAGGACGGGGTGAGAGGACCAAAAGACGTGTTTTCTTTGTGCTGTTTCTGATTGTGTGTAAAGCGTCTTTGAGCACTGGGAAAAGCGCTATAAAAACTCAGAGCTGGGATTATTTATGTGTTTTGTTTAAATGTAAGCACAAGGTATACCCAACTCAATTCAAGGCTTTATTGTAGTTTACACAGCAGCTACAGTGATACCGTAGATATGGCAATGAACAACTGAAGTCACTCCAACAGAGCAACATGAATGTAGGACAGGGGTGTCAAACTCAAATACACAGTGGGTCAAAATTAAAAAATGGGTACTAGTGGAGGGCCGGACTGGTTCAATGTTTCTTGCAGAACTTATTGAAATGAACTTATTGCACATATTAAACCTGGAACTAACAAAGCTTAAATTATTGCCTATAAAAACAACATTAAACATTAAATAATCAGTTGCATTCATTTCTTATGGCTCTATCTGAAGCTTTTCCAGAGTCATTTCTTATGATTACATTTCTCCACAGGCCAACAACAGCTTCAAGAAAACTATTTCCCTCAAAGAACAAACCAAACATGTCCTGTTGTCGTGAGAGAAAAAGTGCAGAAGGAAACATCCATGTAAACTCAGTGTGCTGCTCTGTGATGCTAGTTCAGATACTTGGCATCTCATCTCGGGTGCAAGGTCATCAATGTTTGGGGTCAGGCTCTGAGCGGAGGAGACCCTCAGGATGGAGTGAAGGTGTGCGTGCAATATACCGGAGGGCCAGATCTAATAGTAATTAGAAATTATCCTGCGGGCCGAAATTAAATCCACAAAGGGCCTGATTTGGCCCCCGGGCCTTGAGTTGGACACATGTGTGATATAGGACATAGAACAAATAAAATAGTGCAAGAGAATGTTTTGAGATGTGCAAGTAAATACAATTGGTGACCAAATGTCAAACAAAGACAACCAGAAAATCCAGATTACGTAATTATTCCTTTTTGTAAAATCGTAAATACAACATAGGTGTCAGAGATTTGATTTTCAGTCGTAAAAATATAGATTAAAATGTGAACAAATGAATAGTTAATTTATTTTCCATATTCTTCTCCTGGTGTCTCAATCTCAACGATACTTGAAGTGATTTGTTTTTTAGTAAATGATACATTTTTAGCATCTCTTCCTGTTGTGTTCCCTCAGGACGGGGATGAGGAGGCGTTCAAAGACCTCGCTGAGGAAGATGATGAAGAGGAGCACTTTGTGGACGCAGTCAAACAAGAGGAAGAAGCGAGTGTAGAACCAAAGGAGGAAGAAGCGAGTGCAGAGCCACAGGAGGCGAAGCCCAGTGCATCATGGGTACATCACCAGAACCTGGAAGGTGTGTGTGTGAGAGGGTTATGATCATAAACTACATTTGTGTTATTTTGTTATAGTGTGTGTTATAGTGATTTATGTGTGGGAGAGAAACACAGCGATTTGAGCCTCTGCAGACCATTTACATGCACTAAAACCAATAGATACACTACAGGGAAGGGAAGACCCCCAAAAAGCAGAATACAGCCCCTTCAATTAAACAGATGTGGATGAAAAAGATGACTTTTCTCAGGTGTAAAATCTCTCCAAGAACAAAAAACATATTCTTCAAATGTTATATTTGTTCTGTGGTTTCTTGGATGTTCGTTGTTGTTGCTGTTGTTGTTGTTCTTTAATATTGATGTTGATGTTTCTGTCTCTCCAGGAGGAAAGAGCATCCAGAGCTACGACCCGCTGCACAGAAACCCGTTGTTCTGCGGCGCCGACCGCACGACTCTGTGGGAGCTGCAGAGGGTGAGGAACACTAAATTAATCACAATAAAAACGAAGTGATTTTGTGAGACTTTTAACATTTTTTGAAAATATAGTATGACATTAATATTGATATATTTAATATTGCTTGGATAGATGGAAACGTTGATATTGCATCATACTATAAAAACAAGTTGTATTAACCATCTAAATATCATGCACAGAGATGTATGGCTTTAACATTTGAATTAGTTATTTAATTAGGGTGTCTTACATCATCTGTCCAGTAGGGACAACAGATGAGAAACACATGGCTTGATTAGACAGAAACACCATTAGAGTCAAACAGCTTCTCCATGTTCACTTTGAGATCCTCATCATGAGATCATTTGACTTTGTGAATGTGTGATGAGATTTCACACTTTAACACATCTAAGCTATTTTCTGTTTGTCTCGTCTCCCTGCAGCTCGCCGCTCACTTCCATCCGTCCGTGTCGCTGTTTGCAAAAACCATCCTGGAGGTAAAACCTTTACACTTAAAGTCACAACTTCTGTTTGCATTTAGATTATGTTACTATTTCTTTATAAATGTTTCTGTTAGACAAATCTCACTGGTACCCGGCTTGAGCTTCAGTCTCAGGATCCATGTATTTCTGATCCTCTCCAGAATGGAAGTAGTCATCACATACAGAATAGCTTCTATGTCAAAATCTGAAAAAATTCTGACTTTTTCTAAAAATCTAAAAATTCTGACTTTTTCTCAAAATCCTGACTTTTTCTCAAAATACTGAGTTTTTTCTCAAAATGTTGGCTTATTTCTCAAAATCTCAAAATTCTGACTTTCTCAAAATAATGAATTTTTCTCAATTTTTTTTAAATTATGACTTTTTCTCAAAATGACTTTTTCTCCAAATCTCAAAAATGTTAATAATCCCTCTTCCCCGGCTTGAGCTTCAATCTCAGGATCCATGTACTTGTGATCCTCTCCAGAATGGAAGTAGTCATCACATACAGAGCATCAACTAGTTCCTGAACAGTGTCCTTCACATGCTGATATCCAAGAGAGGGAGTTACACAGTCACAAGATGGAGGAATAGAAAGCAGTATTCAATGTTTACTTCAGATTAGCTCCACGTCAGAAATGATCATGCTTGTCATATGTCTATCTCCATAGAGGCTGAATCATCATGTTAATCACATAGCTATCATATGCCTCAAACAGTCCTGATGCTCTTCTAGGTAATCATACATCCTGTCATGTTCACAGCTACAGTTGGGATACCTTTGTTATCATGTTACTCTGATATTGATAGAGGACATTCAGGATCTTCCTAACAGTTTCCTCTATGAATTGTTTCCTCGTTGTTTCCTCAGGGCGGCTCCATCCTCTACTCCGGAGACCCTCTGCAGGACTTCACTCTGATCCGGTTCCTCGACCGCTTCGTCTTCAGAAACCCAAAACAGATGAAGGGAAAACGTAATAACAACAACAACAATAGATTCAATTCAATTCAGGGGAGAACCGATGCGATGAAACCCCCCGGGGTCTTGACCCTGGTGGTGGTGAATGGATAGTTGGGGTCGGTCTGAAGGGGAGTGGCTTAGCTTGACCCTGGTGGTGGTGAATGGATAGTTGGGGTCGGTCTGAAGGGGAGGGGCTTAGCTTGACCCTGGTGGTGGTGAATGGATAGTTGGGGTCGGTCTGAAGGGGAGGGGCTTAGCTTGACCCTGGTGGTGGTGAATGGATAGTTGGGGTCGGTCTGAAGGGGAGGGGCTTAGCTTGACTCTGGTGGTGGTGAATGGATAGTTGGGGTCGGTCTGAAGGGGAGGGGCTTAGCTTGACCCTGGTGGTGGTGAATGGATAGTTGGGGTCGGTCTGAAGGGGAGGGGCTTAGCTTGACCCTGGTGGTGGTGAATGGATAGTTGGGTTCGGTCTGAGGGGGAGGGGCTTAGCTTGACCCTGGTGGTGGTGAATGGATAGTTGGGTTCGGTCTGAAGGGGAGGGGCTTAGCTTGACCCTGGTGGTGGTGAATGGATAGTTGGGTCGGTCTGAAGGGGAGGGGCTTAGCTTGACCCTGGGTTCAGAGGGACAGGAGGTGAAAAGGGGTGGAGGAGGGTAGCATCGAGTCACCTGAAATGACAGCTGTCAGAGGGGGGAGAGCAGATTTAAAAGGGTTAGCGGAGCGCTATGATAGGCTTGTGGGAATAGAGCGAAGTGATTGGTTAAGCTGGGGAGTGACGCCCCCGATCACTTATTGAGAGGAGAGAGAGTAGTAACATGGACATAGTAAATGGATGAGTAAAGACGGTCTTCCTGGTTGAACTTGCGCTGAGCTTCATTAATCAAATTGTGTATTATTATGAATTGCCAGAATTATTTAGAGATGTTAAAAATATTAATATCTGGATTTATTTGCTTTATTCTTCTCAGAAAACACAGATTCTTCCGCGCTGACGCCCAAACAGAGATTCCCTCTCAAATCTGTTCCAGGTGAGATTTTGAAGAGTTGAAGTTAATTGTTTTTATTTCACCTCATTAACAGTTGTCTGTAGTTTATTTATTTTGTATTAAAACAACTTTCTCTCTCAGTGAACTGTGAGGAGTTCCTGACTAAAGAGGAGAGCCAGATCCCCGTCGATGAAATCTTCTTCCATCGGTGAGTTGGGAACTATTTATAACCTCATGATTGAAGCTTTTATTTCTCTAATTGTCTTCACACAATTTACTTTATTTATACCTTTGGGGAAATGCAGGTATCCAGTAGCCCATTTCTATAAATATAATATTTAGCTGCAAATAGAAATGCAATATTATCTAAAAAGAATCATGAAGAAGTAAAGGGAACATCATGCAGGGGTTTTATTCCCTTTTAACGTGTATTGTACTCCTCAAACACCAAAGAAAATGTGCTTATAAATAACATCTGACAATAAATTTACATATAAAACTCTAAAATGACATTAAAAAATTACATTAAAATCATATTTAAAAACTCTAAAAAATAAATAATAATACATTTCATTTAGCTGACGCTTTTATCCAAAGCGACTTACAATGACCGATTACAGGGACATTCTCCCTGGAGTGACTGAGGGCTAAGTGCCTTCCTCAAGGGAACACTAGTGGTGGTGTTCCTGGTGGGATTTGAACTCACAACCTTCCGATCTTCAGCCCACCTCACTATCCATTAGACCACCACTACCCTTTAATAATTAAAATAAACTCAAATGTTAACGCTGTAAAATGTAAAGAAATGACAATACTCACTTGACCTTCCTCTCGTGAGTTTTAGTGAGAATATTTTACTGTATTTTTGATGTTTTTTTTAATGTTTTTATTGACTTTTTGTTCCCCAGTTTCTTCAGGAAGCGTCACCAGGAGAAGCAGCTGAAGATCCGCCGGCCTCGAGGAGACGGAGACAACGAGAGCGTGGAGGACGTGGATGACGACGAGTTTGAGAAAATGCTCGGTGAGACAAACACTTAATGAAGATGTGATGGAAGTCGTTTAAAGGTCACCTATTATGCAAAATCCACTTCTTCATGTCTCTTCTACATCAACATGTCTCATTAGCCAATCAGCAACCAAGGTAACCCCCCCCCCCCACCTTATCACCTGAATCTCCTCCTAGAGCACCATTGAGTTCTTTGTAACCAAATCTCTCTCAGAGGGGCGTGGGGAGGGGCTCCTTATTTTCATCTAAAGTAACAGACAGAGAATCAGCACTTTGGAAACAGGGCTGAAACAGAGGGGATTATGGGTAATGCTGCAATGATCTGTTTGGTGTTTCAGCCAATCAGAGACAGGCTCTGTATATATCTGAGACCTGTGATATATTGATGAAAAACAGGATGATAGGGGACCTTTAAGCTGAGGCACTGCAGAAGATACATTTCACCTGTTGCAATGAAATAGTTGCACAAACAGGGAATAGTAAACATTGAAACTCTACTTCTCATTGTCCCTTTTTAAATTGTTTGATGTGCATCTTATACGATGTTCATGAACTTTAAATAATAACAGAAGGGATGTCTCGTAACAGAGTGAGGGACATAACGGTCAAACAAACAAGAAATTACAATATTTTGGTAATTAGACCAAGCAACCTTTTTCTCTTGGTGATAGAACTGGCTATCAGCTCCAGAAGATGCTTTGAATTACAAATATTTGAGAATAATTGTATTACAAAATGAATTTAAAATGACAATTATTTTTGTTTGTTTTTCATTAATGCAACTCCAATCTTTATTTAAAAAATATATATATGTATACTTAAATACCTTTTTACCTATACTTTAATCTTGTGTGTAATTTGTATTCTATGTTTCTCATCTGAACAGACTCCTGCGAGGGAGACTCGTACTTCACGGAGATGGCTGACGATGATCTGGACTTCGCAGGGTGAGCTCTTCCAACAACATGCACAGCACTGCAGAAATAACACTATATAGCACCATTTGCATTTATTCTTTGAAGGTCAAATGCTCTCAGAGTTGGTTTGTGTTTGTTTGAGCGATCTTTATTTGTAAATGTATTGAGTTCTTAATCTTTTAAAATCTTTTTATTTAGAAAACGGGAAAACATGAATCAGGCTTTTTATCACCTTTATACAATTCATTGATCATTGATATATATGTTCATTATTTTGTTTAATATATATTTACAAACACATACCTCATTAAATTACACACACAGATATGTTTCGTCAGCCTTTAAAAAATATTTTTTAATATTTAAATTAAATAATAATGAAAAATTGTGATATAAATATCTAAATAAAAAGATAATAAGAAAACACCAACACACTTGTCTGTTATTTGTTTAACCTGAGGGACTGATTTGATCATTCTCTTCTCTATGTCAGTAATGTGAAGGCCAAGAAGAAGAAGAAGAAGGATGCGGAGGCGTCGGACTCGGAGGACGACTCGGACGCGGACCTGGACGACGAGGAGGTTTCTCTGGGCTCCATGGACGAGGAAGACTTCGGAGACGAGCTGGAGGAAGAGGGGGGGACCTTCATGGATCCTGACGGGGGAGGAGAGGATGACGACGATGAAGAAGGTGAGGCAACGTTTCTGGGAGTGGCTGGGAATTACATCTCCATTTCTAGACGCAATGTTGCGATACACTTGGTGTGACGTGAGAAAATATTGATAAAAAGTCATAGTATTGTATGTCAAAAATGTTAAAAACACTTGTTGAGAATGTCAACACATCAACAAATAAATTTAAAAAAAGGTCATAGTAGTACGTGGGGAAATAAATGAAAAAAACACGTGGTGAAGTTTTTCAGAAAAATGAAATACTTTAGTCCACAACGTTTTGGGGGAAAGTGATGGTGTCCAAATTTGAGATTAAAAAAAAGTGCTTATGTAATCGTATAGTAGGTGAAAAACAAAGAAAATTAAATCTATATACCATGTCATAAATATCAGAAAAGAAGTCGTGGTAAAGTTTGTTGCAAATTTCTGAAAAAACGGTTATAGTATGTTGAAAATGTAAAAAAGGAAAGAGACCTATTAAAGATTGTCGGAAATGTCTAAAAAGGTTTAGCATATCGAACATTTCTAAAAGAAAGGTCATAGAGTATTTCAGAATAAAATATAGTATAGTATGTGGTCTGAAAACACTCGTAGTATTGTAATAAAAACAAACAAAATACATGAATATTTTCCCTTTGTCATTGATTTGTTCTTTGTCTTTTCTTCAGTTCCCGAGCTGGAGGACGATGCATTTGGTGGTGAGTTCAAGTCTACTAACACATCAAATACTTATCAAATACTTCATCAAATACTTCCTCAAATGTGTTGACTCTCTACATTTCTGATTGAATAATGAAAGTGTTCTCCTGTCTGCAGATTCAGACGATGAGATGGAAGTTCCTGATATCACTCCTCTTCTCAAGAAGGGGAAGCGGAAATCCTCCGAGGAGCCGGACTCTTCTTTAGGTTCGTTATAAATAAACATCTCAAAAATAGAAATATAAATAAATAGGGATGCTCCGAACAGGGTTTTTGGGGCTGATCGCCGGAATCAGTATCGGCCAATACCGATCGCCGATCCGATCGAGTGGGCGGGGCCTATGGGGACCTTCCATTTAAAGTGATGTTTAAAACTCAGTTAATGCTCATTCACTGGAGCTTCCACAAACAACAACCAACATCATTATTACATTCAGATGAAGTTCATTATTCAAGTTTACATTAACTTTGGAGAAGAACACGGGAGAGATGAGAGGAAGCGCTCTCTTTTTCGCTATTTTACTGTCATTTTCGGACACCTTAAAATACCAAGCCCCCAGGAAGTGCGCCGGACTCTGATGAAAATATTCGTTGTGTCCAAACGGCGGTACTACACTTTCCGTATCAGTCCGTGACGTCACCCGGCCCAGAAAGACTTTTCCCCATTGACTAACATGGGGAAAGAAACGTCTGTAAATCAGCGGATAATTTTTTTTAAACTAAATAAACTTCCCAGTATGAACTATCTTATATCCCTTATTAGAATCATTAGGTCCTTAAAGTTCTAAAATGCACTAAAAGCCGAATCCAGATTTATTTTCTCTCTCCATTCATTCTACTGAGCCGAGAGTGGGAGCTCGGGGGGCGGGGCTTAAGGGGCGCATGCTCTGTGAGCGCACATACGGGTTCTTCTGCTCTGACAGCTAGGCATGATGGGTAATCTGTGACGTTTCTCTCTCTCAAAAGTTGGGCCATTTTGTCCTCATGAGCCAATGAGCAGCATGTATTTTACGTCATGTGATCTGCTCTCCTGATCGGCCTTTATAGAGAGCACCGATCGATCGGCAGAGAGTGAATATCGGCCGATCGATCGGAGCATCCCTAGAAATGAAGCCGCATTAGAGAGTAAGAAAAATATACAGATGACCGTGAAGATAACAAATCTATAAACTGCCGGACAAATAAAAACACACATTTTCTGTTAACACAATATAAGCAGGATATTATTTACATCAAGTGCGCATGGAATGGGATATTCAATTAAATATAAATATAAAATGTGCTTTAGTTTGAAAGCGGATGATGTTCAAGCTGCTCTTATTGTGAAAAATGTGAGTTCATGTTTTTGTTTCTTCTCTCCTTTCAGGTCCAAAGCAGGGGAAGAGGAAGAAGGGAAAGAAAGACACGGCCATGTTTGCTTCTGCAGAAGAGGTACGTTTCTTATGTTACATATAAATAAAGATTTAGATCAAACCAAGACGAACAAATAGAGCAGATCTTATCAAGATTCAAGGCTTTATTGTCATGTGCACATAGAGCGGAGCAGGGATGCCGTATATCCCTGAAGGAAGCTGCTGGTTCCCTCGACTAAAAAGCAACAGGATTTCTCCAGAGGATTTAGGAAAATAGCTGGAAAATAAGATCTGTGAAACAAACCTGTTTGATAAATGCACGTTTTGTTCAGCCGGATAATCTCCACATGTCTACCCTACTTTTATAATGTTCGAATCATAAATCTAGTCGGCTAGAAGCAACATGCTAACGTTATGCTACAAAGGAACTACAGGCGAGTCCAGCAGCACGACTTCAACGTCACGCCAACTTCAGATCCATATTCAAACACACAGATTCTAAATGGAACGAGTTGAAGCGTTTGTTTGAACAGTTAGCAGGAGGCAGGGACTTGCTTTCAAGCAGAACAGGGCAAACTAACTTAGAGGAGTGTTTACGTGTTCGGCGTAATGACGTACAACGGCCTCCACAACTTCTGTAGTCCTATTCAGCCACTTGGTAACAACCATCGTTTTTCAGACACGTCAACTCTTCAGAAATCACCAGTGGGGTCGATGCTGATGGATTTAATGTCGTAGAACAAAACGTGATCCGTCTCTTCAATGTGTCTCAACCACAGACCTTATTTACAGATATTTTCCTAAACCCTATGGAGAGATCCCATTGGCTCTGAGACCAGGGAACAGGAAGTGGTGAAATGCTGACTCACTTCCTGGTTTTAGGACTCGTCACTGTAGATATGTCAATGAAAAACTGAAGTCGTCCTCCAACAGAGCAACATGAATATATATATAGGACATAAAACTAATAAAACAAGATAAAATAGTGCAAGAGAATGTTTGGAGATGTGCAAGTAAATACAAATAAAATGGAAATAGTGCAAGAAGAGTCTATCCAAGTAAAGGGAATATGATATATTAGATAAATAATTGGCAAACAGATCAGTAAAAGGTTCAGGTGTTTAATAGTCTTATGGCCTGTGGGATGAAACTAATCAATAATCTTTCTCGTTTGTGTTATCTGTATTTTAATGACTTGATCCTTGTTCCCAGTTCGGCTCCATGCTGGACGAGAACGCCGGATCCAAGTTTGACAACACCGGCCTGAACGCCATGGCCAACAGCGACAAAGCAGGTAAGATCACCTGAGAGACAAAGCTCTAACAGCAATAAGAGTGTGCTTTAGTTCAGGGACAGGATGTTTTTAAGTGTATGTCAGCTTATATGCTAGTTTGTATCTTATTTATTTGTAAATAGTTTCTTAACACTCAGGTGTGGAAAGCTAAAACGTAAAATCTCTCTAACATAGCAACTAAACGATATGGATAATTATGAGAACAGGAAAAAGACGACATGATGGTTGTTGTTTTTATTCAGTCAGCTGGATACCAGCCAGATTTATTAACTTCTCCACAGAGAAACAGATGGACAACAGTCAGCTTTAACACAGAAGACTGTAGCTATATATATATATATATATATATATGTGTATATGTGATTCATGTTGGGCTCAAAGTCTCACATTTGATGCTATTAGATATTTAAATGACGGGTAATAATGGATCATGACGGAAAACAAGAATCAAAAGCATCCACCGTGTGTTTGAACTTAAAACCTCCTCAATAAGAAGGTAACCGTTCAGCCAAGTAAAGAGTTTGTGCTCATTTAAAGATAGTATATTATGTAAGCCTGAAAAACTATTAAAACATTTTGTTTTCCTGGCACAAAGATGGGATGAATAAAACTGTAAATCTGCAAAGTTGTCACTCTAAACATCGGCAGAGAAATGAGACATTGGTGCATCTGTACTTTAATCATTTGTATAAATAGTTGAAATCTCCGTCACATCAGATCCATGAAACCAGAGACGTTGTTGTTGTGTTTCCTGTCTTTCCTCACTTCCTGTTTGTCCCTCAGGTCTGAAGCAGTTGAAGTGGGAGGCGAACAGAGACGACTGGATGCAGGACCGCGACGCCAAGACCATGAGGAAGAAGAAGACCATGTTCAACAAGAACAAGAAGGCGTTCGGTCGCCCGCGGACGGGAAAGACGTTCGGGAAGAGGAAGTAGTAGCAGCTGTCGTGAGATCGTGGAGGTTTTTTTTAATTGCAGGATGTCCTCAGTCCTGATTGGCCGACCAGGCGGCGAGGTCTTTCTCTCGGACACCGTAGACCCCCGCCCACTCGTTGGACTGGTAGTAAACTGGGAGGAAACAGAGGAGACATGTTTGTTTTTCTGTGAAGAGACCCTGTTTTTCATGGACGCTTTTAACAGATTTCTTCTACGGGAATTCAAGTTATTAAACTTTTCTCCATCTATGACGCTTCTGATAAAGGCATGAAAATGTCATTGCCTAGTAAGTCGTCAAAACACATGAAAAGTCATAAGTATGCCACCCTGTTTGTCATTTAACAGATTTCATGTACATCTACAGGTATTCGAGTTATTACCCTTTTCTGAAGCGTGATTATACGAGTTATTTTGTAAACGTTTTAAGTGCCCATTTCTTCAATCCTGATTATTAAACATTTAAATGGGTTTTTGTCTTTTCTCCATCCATGAGGCTGCTGTCCTAAAATCTAATGCTATAGTAGGGTGTAAACGTTAGTCAAAAAGTACTTTTCAACTTCTGATAATACACAAAATACATGTATCCTGAAAAGGGTTATAGCATAGTATAACCCCCGCCCACTCGTTGGAAACAGGAGCGTTAAAACGACCAGGAGACCTGTTTATGTTTTTAGAAAGGACCTTGTTTTTCATGGACGCATTTAACAGATTTCATCTACAGGAATTTAAGTTATTACCCTTTTCTGAAGCGTGATTATACGAGTTACTTTGTAAACTAAAGTGCCCATTTCTTCAGTCCTGATTATTAAACATTTAAATGGGTTTTTGTTGTCTTTTCTCCATCCATGAGGCTGCAATCATATACTGGGACTGACTTAGCATCTCACGCTATAGTAAGTTGGTAGGTAGGTTGTAAACGTTAGTCAAAAAGTACTTTTCAACTACTGATTAGGGCTGCACGATTTTTGAAAAAACTGACATTGTGATATTTTTTCCCCCTGCGATATTAAGATATGAAAAAATACAGGAATTGAAGAAAAGACAGTTTTGTTTTGTCCGCAAACCATCCTTTCTTGAACTTTAATGCTATACAATTGGTATTTTTCTAACTATATTTAACCGGATGAAGGATTTTAGTCACGGACGTCTGGATCTTAAGTTATTAGAGCAACAAGCTGAGCTCGGTTATCCTGCTGTGATCTGATCAAGAATGGTTGTGATTGGTGGTTTGCTATGCATGCAGAGCCTGCATGTCACCCCTGACATGAGAGCCGCACGAGTTTTCCTTTTGTAGCAAGCAGCAAAATAATTGTAACATGGCGTGTTTGAGTTAATTTGCCTACTTAATATCCTAAAAACAAAAAAATATATATATATATATATATATATAAAAAAAGAAAATTTCACGTCCTGCGATGTGCAGCCCTACTACTGATAATGATAGAGAAAATGCATATGTCCTGAAAAAGTCATAGTATAGTTTGACGCCGAAAAAAGTGAAAATATTTGTTGTATAGTTTGTAGTAAAACATTTTTAAAATAACAGTATAGTGTGTCTTTAACAATACACAAACAAAAATGCATACATTAGTTTGTCAGCAAAAAAAAAGTCATAGTAAAGTATGTTGTAAGAAAAAGTCACAAAACTTTATAAACGATAAAATGTCGTCACATTTTTTAAAGGTCACCTGTCATGCTATTTGTAGGCAATAGCATAGGTCTCAGATATATACAAATATATATAAAAACATGTCTATGAAGTGTTTTGCTCAAAATACCAAACAGATCACCCATTCTAGCCATGCCTCATATCCCTCTATTTCACTTCCTGTTTCTAAAGTGCTGATTCTGGGTATAAAGCTTTAAAAAATAAACAGGAGGGGTCTGAGCTCATGCGGGACCCGGCAGCTACTGTCTAAACTAAATGCTGCCATGATGAAACGCCATATCATGGATTATCAAGGATTGTCTCTGAAACAGTATGGAGCTCAAAGGCTTTCTCTCTTGCCGGTTATACCACAAGGTGAGTTCCTTTTTATTTCCTGCTTCTTCACACACATGCTCTCCAGTACAGGTTAGCTCTGAGTGTTAGCGATGCTAATGTAAACACCGACCATATTACGTCCAAAACAGTCGGGCATTGTTTCTGATAGCAACGTTTCTGATAGGGCCGTGGGTCCACAGTTCAGATATTACGTGATATCGGACGCAAATCTGGATCAGCTCCGTTGTAGCCCCCGTTTTTAGAGATTTGGGTACGGAGGAAAAGAGAGAGGGTTTTATTTCCTGGCGCTGCGTGAGTTCCCCGACACACCGGGGACACATGTTGATGTAGAAAAGACATCAAAAAGTGCATTTTGCATGATAGGAGACCTTAAAATAAAGTCATAATATAGGAATGCCGTGAAATCCGTGACAGAAGCCAATAGTTGGAGTATAGTTTGTCGTACATTTTTTTTTAAATAACAGTAACGACTATCTTTAACAAAACACGGAAAAAAAGTCATATAGTTTGTTGTCGGAAAACATGACGGAAAAGTCATAGTATAGTATGTCGTAAAAAGACTGAAGAACTGCTCACCTTCCAGAACGGACGGTAGCCTCCTGTTCATGGTGCTCCTGAAATCTGCACATTATGGGAGTAAACAGGATGTTTAAGCCACTTTTAAAGTCACTCAACACAACTTTAAGTATTCTGTAGTTCCCTAAGATACTACTTTAAATGTGTATTAATATGAGAACAGGAAAAATTCGAGATGAAGGTTGTTTTTATCAACTGGAGTGCATTTTAATTCAGGACAGGCTTTCTTTAAGTGTACGTCGGCTTATATTAAAAAAAAAAAGTCTTATATGCTAGTTTTTATCTTGTATGTTTGTATGTAGTTTCTTAACACTCAGTTGTGGAGAGCTGAAATGTTAGAATTTCATTGTACAGTCCAACTGCCTGTTATACCATATATATATGACAATAAACAGATATCTTGAATCTCTATAACATAGCGACTAAACGATATGGATAATTAAGCTCTTTGTATTATTAGGAGAACAGGAAAAAGACGAGATGAAGGTTGTTTTAAAGTCACTCAACACAGCTTTAAGTATTCTCAAGTTCCCTAAGACACATCTTTAAATAAATAAATCTCCGTCTGATACCCTGACTGCCGTTCATCTTGTGGAACAGGCCGTACGCCCCGCAGACGCCGAGCAGCTCCACCACGATCACTCCTTTCATCAGAGTCTTAGCCAGGGAGGCTGGGTTAGGAGGCATCTGAGAGAAAACACACAGAAACACACTTAGTATACATATAATATATTTAAAAGGAATAAAGGTATTCTGATTCTGAACATGGAAGCTGGTAAAAATAGTTTTTCATAGAGGCATCTGGGGAGAAAACGAGGGGTTACGTATGGTAACCCTTGTTATATAAACACAGGCTCCGCCCTATACTGGACTCTATGGGTACTCCCCTTGATCATATCATGCAAGCATTCATTCACTGAGACTTCTATAGACGTAGCCGGCCCCGGGGGCGGGCCTGCCTGAATGCGTGCGCACCTCACGCATAAAAGGAGGCCTCGCCTCCTGACTGTCATCCTACACCTCTCTTCAGCAAGCAGCATAGCACAGACAGGGCCCCCGAGTAGAGGGCTCCGCCTGTGTTTATATAACAAGGGTTACCATACGTAACCCCTCGTTATATCTCTCACACGCTGTGGTCCCAAAACAACACTGTTCCATCTCACTGTCTCTGACCGGCTTTCTGGTTATCAGCCGCTGCGCCTCACTCACCTTTCCCTCGGTCGTAACCGTGGAGAAGTTGGGGCTGCGGCTGACAGAGCACACTCTGACGCGCTTACCTCGCGAAGGTGTGCTTGGAAAACAGCGCTGAGGGCTCCCACCCTCGTATGGGCTCACTATGCACCACCTCTCCCGAGCCCCTAAGGAGCACGGGGAGAGCGCAAGTGCCCCATGTCCCACACTCAGACACGCTCACCTCGTGAAGAGCGTGTATGGACTATGACGTGGAGGGCTCCCCCCTCCTGCCCTAAAGCAGGGGGAAAGAGTCCTCCAGCCCTGTATGGGACCCCGGGGAAACGTAAGCACATTACGCCCAGGGAGGGGGTCAGATGCCCACTGACCCACAGCCCCCCTCCCTCCTCACCAGTCCTGTGTTGCCCCAGCAAGCACAGACGATGAAAAGGAGCCAGACATGTCCAAGAGATAAAACTTTATGAAGAGGCCTGGCGTTGACCAAGACGCCGCCGTGCATATGTCCTCCACACTCACGCCGTTAAATAAGGCTGTTGACACAGCCATGGCTTGTGTAGAGTGTGCACGGACCCCCGTGGGGAAGGCTCTCAGCTATGGGGCCCCAGCGATAAAGCTGTGGTACTCTCTGGTGACCCGTCCCGCCGCAAAACTCCCCGCGAAGGGAAGCTCTGCCCATGGGGGGTCGATACAGAAAGGGCAGACTCTCTACTGAGGTCCTTGAATGCACCGCAGTTTTTACACTTGGCGTTATGTGTTTCCTAACCCTGCTACGCCGGCCATAATGTCCCTGTACCCGCATAGCGCGGTTTATCACTCTCCCGCGCATGCCCACTAGCTGCCTCCTTTACTGGAGTTACAACCGGGGCAGCGAGTGGGGAATCTGTACGGTCAACATTATGTGGCAGTGTGGGTGTGTGGAAAGAAAAGACACTCAGCCTGGGATACAAGCAATCTCTTTTATTCACATGAAAAGACGATTGTGTCAACACAGTGGGGTCAAATTTTTATTTAACGAAGATAAAAAAGCATTGAGATAAAATCTCATTTTAAATGCTGACCTGGTCAAGAAGGCAGCAACGTTACACATAACACATACATATAAAATACAGAGAACATAACTAAGAAAACAAACGACGAAAAAGCAGTCACTACATTGTGCACATTTGGACTGTAAGAAAGGTACACTACTTATTACTGCAAGAGCAGTAAGGACTTCAGACAACTTCAATTTAAAACATGCTATTGAGACAAGTGCCCTCAGCTTGAGGCGTGATTGAAGGTCATTCCAAGACCAAGGACCATAATAAAAAAGACTCCTTTTTCCAGCCTCAGTCTGCACAGCAGGAACCTGGACCCGTATCCAGGCACTGGGTCTGAGGTTGTAAGAGTCACAAACTGGAGCAAATCTGGCACATATGTAGAGTGGAAGCTTACCTAAAATGGCTTTATACATTAATAAAAACCAATGGCAGTGAGGACCATCCAGTTAGGCTATACAGTTTGCAATGATGAGTCCTATAGGGTGCATTTGATATATAACGCAGTGCAGCATGGTGAAGTGGGACAAGTTTGGCCAAAACAGTGGGACAGGCAAATCTATAAATGGTATCACCGTAGTCCAGCTGGGACAGGAATAAGCCAGAGACCAACCTTTTACGGGATGAAGTTGAAAAATAACATTTAAATCTGAAAAGGAAGCCAAGAGTGAATTTAAATTTCTTAGTTAGAACTTCAATATGGTGTTTAAAGTTTAGATTACTGTCCAACCAAAAGCCCAGATATTTGTAGGTATCGACAAACTCAACGGAGACGCCATCAAGAGTGTCAATGGAGAGGCAAGAGGAGGACGCTGACTTGGGAGCAAAAAGCATTGCTTTGGTTTTCTTACTGTTCAATAGCAGTTTGGAATCAAGAAGTGCATGCTGCAGCGTGATAACATCAGATTTTAAATTGGAAACGGCCATATCCAGAGAAGGAGCACATGAGTATACAATAGTGTCATCAGCATACATATGATAGGTAGAAAATTGCATCTGATTACAAATATTGTTTACATATAATAAAAAGAGCAAGGGCCCCAAAATAGAGCCCTGTGGAACTCCCTTCTCCAAGGTGACAGGGTCAGAGACAGTACTACCCAACCTGACGCATTGAGTACGGCCGGTGAGATAACTCTGAAACCAGCAAATGGCATTATGACCGAAACGAGACACCAACATAACATTAGACATAATAATTAAATAGGGAGGAGGCGGGATTCGCCCTCGCGTCCTGGCCGGAGAAAGCACCTCTCTCCGCCGGGACGCTTCCTCCCGCAGCCAGTCAGCTCCTGGAGGACGGTGCACCCCACCCAGCACCCCGCCGGGTTCGGCCAGCCTGTCCCCGTGAGTGCCGGTACTGGGCCGGTTCTCCGGGACGGACCGCGGAGGCAGAGGGCGCAATGGGGCCTCTGTACCGGCGCCTCACTCTCTCTCTCCGCCTTCCCACCACCGGGCGCTCTCTCCCTTGAGGAGGGGCCTGAGGGCGAGCCAGCGGCAGCATGCGGCTGAGCTGCGCCCTCTCTTCCTCCAGGCGACTGAAACGCTGGGTGACCGAGGATATCGACCCGAAGAGCCCTTCCGTGGAAACGGGGGCACCAAGGAGATCATCTTGGTCTTTCCTGGTCAGTGCGGTCAGACCTAGCCACACGTGACGCGACGCCACGGTGGCTAGGGACATCACACGGCCGGCTGCGGTAGCCATACCCTGGACCAGATTATTCATCTGGCCCACGCAGCGGTCCGAGTAATCACTCCCGTCCTCAGGCGGGGGGGCGGGGATGTCCTGCTGAGGGGTAATCAGCGACACCCCCAACACGCCAAGATTACTGGCCGCCGCCGCCATCTGCGCTCCGAGCCTGAACATCTTATCCAGATGCTGGAGCATTTCACGGTCACGCGGCAGCGGGGGCAGGGGCCTTCTCCCCTCTGCCCAACCGGCTGCCTGTGGAAGCAGATGGGCCGCCAGGCTTTCATCCAGGGGGGGCACACCGGGACACTCTGTGTCCGAGTGGCCCTGCACCCTGAGGATTCCAGCCCATGTTGCCACCCGAGCCTTCGTCCTCAGTGGCTGTTGCCACGTCGCCTCCACACACTGCCAGATTTCTGGCAGGGGGGGCGAAACGAAGGCCGGCTGCGCCGGGCCGTAGAAGTCCTGACGTAGGCGGCTCACCGGCCTCGGTGGCAGCGGTGGGGGGAGCGGTAAGCCTACAAGCTCCGCCGCCATAGTCATCACCGCCGGGAAGTCCTGCCGCGCAGACCTGCGCTGCTGGCCTGCCTGGCGGTCGCCGGAAGCATCAGACAACGAGGTGTTGTCGTCGTCGTCGTCGTCGTCGTCGTCTCTCTCCCCGACGAGCGGGCCCGTCCGGTCCGCTGGCATGGCGAACACGAAGGGCACTCCCTCATCGCGGTCCTCCATCTCCACCACCTCGAGTTCTGGGTCCTCCATCGGCGAGACGTAACAATCCCCAAACTGCACCAGCCGCTGGCGGCGGCTGAGCCGAGGGATCAAACGGCAGGCGCTGCAGGCTGGAAGCAAGCCCAGGTTGGCCGCCGCGTGGTCGGACCCCAGGCACTTGATACAGTGGCGGTGGAGGTCAGCGCCTGCAATAAAGCCTGGGCACGAAGGGCAGGGTCGTTGCTCCAGTAATGGTGAGTCCATTTTTCTTCTTTATCCGTCTCTCTTCACTCAGTTGTTTTCTCTTGCTTGCTGAAGAGAAAGGGATGACATTCAGGAGGCGAGGCCTCCTTTTATGCGGTGAGTACTTTACTCCACTACTTACTTTTCTGACCACTTTTTACTTTGACTTCTTACATTTCCCAAACAGGCTGGTTCTTTTAGTTTGAATGTGTGTTTGGAGGCGTGATCATTATTATTTAGAGTCATTGCGTGCCTATTGATTTGAACACGATCCGTGTATCCATCATTTCCTGGTCTTCTCTAAAGAAGAGGGACCAATGAAAACGTTGTCATGTTGCCGTTGTTCAGCATGGAAACATTCATTAGCTAACAATGACATTATTGTTCTATTAATATAAAGGGAGGTCAGGTACTCTTTAAAACAGCTGCTAGTTATGGGTACTTTTTACTGAAGTACATTTCAAAGCCCTCTTTACTTTCACTTGAGTAAAGAAGTTTAGTCAGTACTTCTACTTTCACCAGAGTATTTTTAAACACGAGTATCTGTACTTCTACTTGAGTAAAGGATGTACTTTAGCCATCTCTGTGTTTAATAAATATAAAGGAATAAAAGGTATTCTGATTCTGAACATGGAAGCTAGTAAAAAGAGTTTTTCATAAAGGAAACTGCTTTTCAGAATCAGAAACAGGTTTACACATACCAGGAATGAGCCTTGGTGTATTTGGTGCAGACATAAAAGACACATACATACATACATACATACATACATACATACATACATACATACATACATACATGGTAAGAAAAGGACGATAAAATAAAACAATGATCAAAAACGTTTTAAAGAACACTATAATAACTTTAAAATATAGCAATATTTACATGACATAAAGATTAAATATAGATATACCCACAAAATAAAAAATGATCAAATCAAATATGAACATGTGCAGTATTGATTTGACCGGTGGAAAGCAGTGCAGGTATAAGAGGTAGATAAAAGTAGTGAATTTACTAAAGTCTGATTTAATTAAGTGTTGATTATATTTCACAAATTAATCCAAATCTATAAAGTAACTAAAGATCTGAATTGAAGTGCAGTAGAAGTACAAAGCAGCAAACTCAAATAAAGTACCTCGAAATTGTACTTAAGTACAGTATTTGAGTCACAAATTACAATACATAAGTTAAATGTGTATACTTTTATCACATTTTGCTGCTTTCACTTCTATGCTTTTACTAATGTAAGCTAAAAAACAATTCCATGCATTCAGAGAAACTAAGTCTTCCGTCCATTGTCCATCATAACTGTAACCACTACATTATAAACACAGATATTACTAGCTAACTCCTAGCCTGTAGCTAGTTTATCTTATATTTAGCCTTCATGAATTAACCCAAATGACCTCGTTTATGCGTCCTATTACTCTTCAATAAACTCACATTCAGTATCGACACAGAGAAAACTACTGAATGAGTCTTAATATATGAAATAAAACATTAGAAGTTGTTAAAATACCCTGAAATGTTGTCAGACGTCCTTGAGTTGTACACGGTTGTACAAGAGAAGCTAACGGCTAATACGTTCTAAGTACGGAAGCTCGGTTGGTACAAACAACAGAAGCGCGATTCGTAAATCAATTGAAAATCTGGTTCGTGGTCTTAATTCTGAAATTGATTTTTTTAAATAGCCAATGCACACTGGGATAGAAATAATAAACTCATTATCTGTGTAAAATTACAGAATTCAAAAGTAGAACAACTAAAATATGTATATGTATGGTATTTTAAAGCAATATAAATTACACAAATCTTAAAAAAGCATATATTCTTCAGCCATTCGAAAAAAATGCATATAAAATGTATTCTTGTACCATTTTGTATTACTTTGTTCTGTAACTCTGTCCCTAAAATGATAAAAAAATATATATATATGTGGTTTTATGTGGCTGTAGTTGCAGGAGCTCACCAGTAGGTGGCAGTGTGTTCACAAATGTGCAAAAAGGTATACATTAAATACACAGAATTACCTGGAAAAGACTCAAGTTAAAATACTGGGAGACTTATTGGTTAGTGAGGGGAAAAAACAGGCCTCGATCCTTAAAAAACATGTGAAAAAAGCTAAATAAACAATGAAATAAAGATTAAATCTGCTTTTATTGATCCAAGAGGAGAAATGCAGGCGTTGCCTCAACACAATAATACATAAAAAATGAATACAGATAAATACAGAACTAAGAAGTAGAAATAACCAATAACAAATTAAGTACAAATAGAAACTAGGCTATAAAAGCACCAATCTGGCGTATACTTAACACAAATGTAATAATGTTATTATAGGAAAATGTAACAAAAAAGGTACATTTTAGAAAAGTGTAATAGCATGAAAAACACCACATACATTCTGAGTAAGATATATTTCCTCTTTTTGCAGGGTAACATCATTGGAAATAGTAAAACACAAAAATGCATTTTGACTTTAATTAGCCAACATTTAGCTGATTACTGATTATTTAAATAAAGTTTGAATGCAGAAGGTTTACATCTTCTGGAGTATTTTACAGTGTACTTAACTCAAACTAAATATCTAAATACTTCTTCTTACTCTAGCTATTTGTATATATGTGAGACTGCATGGACAGGGGACTCGAGGAAGGCTTTAAATCGATTGTAATTTCATATATTCTTTTGAAAATCCCATGTAAAACAGTTCATTTTGAGTGAAAATCAAATCCAATCTACCTCCAGTTGTTTTCCAATCCCTAACTAGTGCTGTAAGCATATTTCCAAAGTGCTAAACTACATTTCTGCGGCAGCTCTCGCAGATATATCAGCCTTTATTCTCCTGCTGACAGTTTCAGGGCGGAGGACAAAAGGTGAAAATATGTGGATTTGTTTGACGTGCACACAGGGAGGACAGGTTGTGTGTGTGCAGAGATCATGGTGGTCCTCGCTGTGTGTGTGTACCGTGTGTGTGTCGCCTTTCAGATTCAGCAGCAGGTAAATACACACCGTCAAAAACACACACAGTAAAGACTGCAGCGAGGAAGAGGAGGAGGAAGATCCCACAGACACTCTGCTTGTTAACTCCTGCAGTAAAATGCTAAAATGCTGGAAGTCTATAGTTTGGGCGTGATTTTTGTTCATTTTCTACACATTTGTGATGATTGAAAGATGGTGTTTGCAAATTAGGAGCATTAAAAACAGCATGCAGTGCAGCAGAGACACATTAAAGCTTTATTTGGGAGTACATTCTGGAAAAATAGGAAATATAACTGCAATTAAGACGATTTATAGAAGGTACGAGTTAATTTGGCGTCATATTTGTTGGTTATTCACAAGTTTAGGGTTCAATGACGTCACCACAATCAATAGAAACACACAAATCAATTAGTAGATCTGCAGAAGCATTATATAGACCAGCATGCACTGCAGCAGAGACACATGTAAGGGTGGTTTGGGAGTCATTTCTGGGAAAAATAGGAAATATAACTGCAGTAAAGACAGGCAAGGAGGGTTAATAGAGAGTATGAATTCATTTGGCTATTTTCCTCATTTTTTAGGGAGATTTTTGTTTGTTTTTATATTTAAATTGCCACAATCCTTCTAAACACAGAGATACAGTACATGTGTAGATATGCAGGAGCAAGAGGTAGACCAGCATGCATTGCAGCAGAGACACATTTGAGGTTAGTTTAGGGGAAAATCAAGTAGACAGGAAGTTATTTTAGCCTCATGTTGTTCCTTTTTAAATGAGTTTGAGGGGTTTTTGGTTAGTTTTCCATCAGTTCATGTTCAGGGACATCACCACGATCCATAGAAGCACATACATAAATATTTAGATCTGCATAAGCATCAGCATGGACTGCAGCAGAAAGATATTTGGGGTCATTTCTGGAATATATAACTGTAGACACAGGCCGTAAAGGGTTAATGAAGCCTGATTTGGGTTCATTTTAAGGGAATTTTGGGATGACTTTTGTCAAAATGTAACACAGCAAACAGAACCAGAAGAAAGACCAGCATGCATTGCAGCAGTGGTGGGCAGTTTAATATGGACCTGCTCGTCCACTGGAGAGATGAAATGTCTCAGCTAACAACAGCGGGGGGGTTTTATAATGACATTAAATCACTCAAACAAGAAATGAGACGAGGCTTGTTGATGTTTAATTTAAAAAAGGACCAAAAAACTCCCATTTCCTTTGTTATTTGGCTCAAAACACACTCAAAAACCCCAACAAACTGATGAAGACATGCAGGTATTTTCTCTGCATTACTTTTACTTTTGAAAGTTTGAGTACATTTGACTTCTGTACTAATTTTGTAAAACCATCACTTTAAAAATACAGTATTGTATGCACATTAAACCATATTTTAAGACTAAATTAGATGCTTTGATACGCTTTATTAAGCCCAAATTGAAGAGTTGTTTTTTAACATCATTTTAAAGAGGAATTGCACGTGAAAATAAATAAGAAAAAAGTGTCTTCACCCATTAATTAACAGAGACTTAACCTCATGCATTGAGAGTACTTAATTACTAAAAGGTGCATAAAAGTGACGTCATTATTGACTGTCACCTCTCTGTGAGTCCACGGGGCGGGAGTCTCGTGCCGAGGTGTTGATGGAATATTCAAATCAAGAGAGTGAGAGCTCGAGGAGTGAAATGAAGGCAGCTGATTGGCCGCTGCAGGCTCCGCGAGCACAGGTGTCAGAGAGTGCCTCGCGGACACCGGTCACTCTGCCTGTTTCTACCCGGGAATGAGGAGCTTTTCCCCCCGGTGGTCATAGTACGACATCCAGGATACACCGGATAAAAGGAACCGTTGTTTCCCGCTTTATTTGGGTTTTATTTTCCGTTTGGATGTTGGAGTCATGCTGAGCGCCGTTAAGATGGAGGATCTTCCGGAGTGGAGCGGGAGCAGCTACTACGGAGAGGCCGAGGTCAGTGCACTCTGTCCCGGGTAAACTCAGAGGGAAGCCCCGCTGAAATATCACCGAATAAAAACTGGGTGGAAAAATACAAAAATATAAACGTCTTAATTAACTTTAGATAGATAGATATATATATAGATTGATAGATACTTTATTGATTGACCAATTTGGGACATGTTTGCGTTGCAGCAGCATCAAAAACAAGGCATTGTACATAAGAGAAATTAAGACACTTGAAATAAACAGTCAAAGATATTTCTGAAATAGAAATAAAATAGCGTTAAAAAGTAAAAAAAATATATATACATGTGGAAAATACACATTCCAGTAACGCAGGATATTATTGTGCAAGAAATGGATTATTCAATATTAAAATGATCATACATGTCAAATGTACAGTGGGAGTTTAAGTCCAGTCCTTTAAAGGGGTGTTGACAAAACAAACAACATTGCGGACATTTTATAGCACCAATTAATCAATTAATATAGCCTTATAAAGAGTGATCAAACCTCTATATTATTGTTGGATTATCTGCATATAGCTGTGTGTGTTTGGTTTAGGGGAAATGTTATGAATAGAAAAACATCTAAATGAACTTTATAGGGGTTTGACCGAAGAAATGAACATTTATTTTAAGGCATTTCAGACATTTTAGAGCAAATAATTAATCAAATAATCAACAGATAATTGAAATAATGGATATTTGCAGCAGTGTAAAAGTGGAAATAAATCTAAATATTATTGTTGAATGGTTTGCATTGCTGTGTTTTGTTGCTTTGGGTGTTAAGTTGTAAATAGAAATACATTTAAATGGACATTATGGGAGTTTGACTAAAGAAATAAACACGTAAAGGCCTGTTTATTATATGTATTACGCAAGAAAATACAAATATTAATAATTATTCTACAATATATTTGTTAAAAAGGCTATTTGTCTTTTGATGAATGATTAAATTCCATGTATTTCTTTTACATTTAGCAACCTTTGTTTCTGCAGTGGATGAATTGTGCAGCGAAAATGGAAATTCAATCATTAAAAACGTCCAGAAATACCTCTCAACCGCTGTGTTTTCTTTAATTAAGTTCATATTGAAGCTTATATTAGTTATTTATCATCTTAAAATGTTGTTTTTTGTTTGTATTGTGACCATCCTTGACACCGGCCTAATGCTTGTTAAATCAGTGCAGGCTGACAGTGGAATATATTGAATTAAAATCAGTCGTTTGTTGTGGAAACGAGTAAAATTACATAATATATGATATATTCATGAGGTTTAAATGGTTAATTAAATGTTGTTATAGCACATAGACACATTAGGGCTAAAACTGAAGGCTTTAAATAAGGTGTTACGGCCATACACAAATACTGAGCAAACAGACTTATCATCGAGCTTAATTACAACAATACATAATATATAAATACTCAGGATGGAAGACACTGAATGTATATCTCTGTATTTATTATTTAAATTTAGCAACATGGGAATTAGGCCCAAAAAATTAGGAACAACAAATATACAGGCCTGTTTTTTACCGGGATGTTTCCTGATGATAATTGGGATTTTTAACCTAATTCATAATAAAGTAATATTCACCTAAAGTCCTATTTAAGTTAAATAATTGTGCTTTTTAAGAGAATCAACTTG